CTGATACACAGGTAAGTCGAAAAATATTTAAACCAAAATATCATTTAAACGAAAGCGAATATCTGGGCGGAAATTCGCCATATGTATCAGGAGAACATGATACTCGAAGAGGTGGCACGACATAGTCCGCCGTTGAGCCGTTCTCCTGATACACAGGTAAGTCGAAAAATATTTAAACCAAAATATCATTTAAACGAATGCGAATATCTGGGCGGAAATTCGCCATATGTATCAGGAGATCATGATACTCGAAGAGGTGGCACGACATAGTCGGCCGTTGAGCCGTTCTCCTGATACACAGGTAAGTCGAAAAATTTTTGAACCAAAATATCGTTTCAACGAGAAGGAATCGCAGCGCGAATATTCGCCTTGTGTATCCGGAGAACATGACACTCGAGGATGTGGCACGACATTGTCGGCCGTTGAGCCGTTCTCCTGATATAAAGGTAAGTCGTAAAATTTTTAAACCAAAATATCATTTAAACGATAGCTGGTCGAAATTTCGCCTTACGTATCAGGAGAACATGATACTCGAATAGGTGGCACGACAAAGTCGGCCGTTGAGCCGTTCTCCTGATACACAGGCAAGTCGAAAAATTTTTAAACCATAATATCATTTAAACGAGAGCGAATAGCTGGTCGAAAATTTTCCTCATGTATCAGGAGAGCATGATACTCGTAGAGGTGGCACCACATAGTCGGCCCTTGAGCCTTTCTCCTGATACATAGGTAAGTCGAAAAATTTTTGAACCAAAATATCGTTTCAACGAGAAGGAATCGCAGCTCGAAAATTCGCCTCATGTATCCGGAGAACATGACACTCGAGGAGGTGGCACGACATTGTCGGCTGTTGAGCCGTTCTCCTGATACAAAGGTAAGTCGAAAAATTTTTAAACCAAAATATCATTTAGACGAAAGCGAATATCTGGGAGGAAATTCGCCATATGTATCAGGAGAACATGATACTCGAAGAGGTGGCACGACATAGTCGGCCGTTGAGTCGTTCTCCTGATACACAGGTAAGACGGAAAATTTTAGAACCAAAACATCACTTAAACGACACCGAATAGCTGGGCGAAAATTAGCCTTGTGTATCCGGAGAACATGACACTCGAGGAGGTGGCACGACATTGTCGGCCGTTGAGCCGTTCTCCTGGTATAAAGGTAAGTCTTAAAATTTTTAAACCAAAATATCATTTAAACGATAGCTGTTCGAAATTTCGCCTTACGTATCAGGAGAACATGATACTCGAATAGGTGGCACGACAAAGTCGGCCGTTGAGCCGTTCTCCTGATACACATGCAAGTCGAAAAATTTTTAAACCATAATATCATTTAAACGAGAGCGAATAGCTGGTCGAAAATTTTCCTCATGTATTAGGAGAGCATGATACTCGTAGAGGTGGCACGACATAGTCGGCCGTTGAGCCGTTCTCCCGATACACAGGTAAGTCGAAAAATTTTTGAACCAAAATATCGTTTCAACGAGAAGGAATCGCAGCGCGAATATTCGCCTTGTGTATCCGGAGAACATGACACTCGAGGAGGTGGCACGACATTGTCGGCCGTTGAGCCGTTCTCCTGATACAAAGGTAAGTCGAAAAATTTTTAAACCAAAATATCATTTAAACGATAGCTGGTCGAAATTTCGCCTTACGTATCAGGAGAACATGATACTCGAATAGGTGGCACGACAAAGTCGGCCGTTGAGCCGTTCTCCTGATACACAGGCAAGTCGAAAAATTTTTAAACCATAATATCATTTAAACGAGAGCGAATAGCTGGTCGAAAATTTTCCTCATGTATTAGAACATGATACTCGAAGAGGTGGCACCACATAGTCGGCCCTTGAGCCGTTCTGATACACAGGCAAGCCGAAAAATTTTTAAACCATAATATCATTTAAGGGAGAACGACTAACTGGTCGAAAATTCGCCCTATGTATCAGAAGAACATGATACTCGAAGAGGTGGCACGACAAAGTCGGCCGTTGAGGCGTTCTCCTGATACACAGGCAAGCCGAAAAATATTTAAACCATAATATCATTTAAACGAAAGCGAATATCTGGGCGGAAATTCGCCATATGTATCAGGAGATCATGATACTCGAAGAGGTGGCACGACATTGTCGGCCGTTGAGCCGTTCTCCTGATACAAAGGTAAGTCGAAAAATTTTTAAACCAAAATATCATTTAAACGATAGCTGGTCGAAATTTCGCCTTACGTATCAGGAGAACATGATACTCGAAGAGGTGGCACGACATTGTCGGCTGTTGAGCCTTTTTCCTGGTACAGAGGTAAATTGAAAAATTTTTAAACCAAAATATCGTTTCAACGAGAAGGAATCGCTGCGCGAAAATTCGCCTTATGTATCAGGAGAACATGATACTCGAAGAGCTGGCACAATATAGTCGGCCGTTGAGCCGGTCTCCTGATATATAAGTAAGTCGAATAATTTTTAAACCGAAATATCATTTAAACGAGATGGAGTGGCTGGGCGAAATTTCACCTGCAGTATCAGAACAACATGATACTGGAAGAGGTAGCTCTCCGAAACTCTCGAACCTGCGGTTCTCCTGATTTTTCATTCCTGCAGAAAATGTTTGGTCCAAATATCTTAAACCGGAGTGTACATCTGACTAAAATTTATGATTTTGTATCAGGGGAACACGTTGTCTGTGGAGGTTGCATGCCGATCCTCTGGAACCAACTGTGCTCTTGATATTCAAGTTTTTAAAAAATGTTTTAGCTCGTAATTCTTGAATGCTGAATGGTTAAAAGTTAAGATTTTGTATTAGGAGACCATGATGTCCGAGGATTTGGCGCGACATAACTCTGGAGCTATCTCTTTTCCTAGTATTTCAAATTTTCTATAAATGTTTTAACGCCAATATCTTGAAAACCGAAATATATATTTGGCTGAAGTTTGAATTTTGTATCAGGAGAATATGCGGTCCACAGAAGTGGCACGCCGAAACTCTAGAGCTTGCTGTGCCCCTGATGTTTCAAATTTTCAGTAATTTTTTTAACGCAAATGTTTTGAAAGCTGAATGGTCTTCCTCACTGAAATTTCATATTTTGCATCAGGAGACCATGTGAGTATCACGCCTATACTCTAGATCTTGCTGTGCCGCTGGTAATTCAGATTTTCAAAAAATTCGGGGGCCATTCTATATATATTTCTGTGAATATGAAATCCTGTCAAAAGTATTGATTTTGTTGTTTCTAACGAAAAATCAATCGATGTGGTCGTAAAACATGGCACACGTATAAGTTCGTAATGAGAAATGGATTAATTTTAAATATTAATCTCGTGTTTTGGATTCTAATGATACAATTGAGCATTTTGCTTGTATCATTTTACCTGTTATAATCACAGACGAACTTCACGTTTGAAGATTTGACAACTCTGTAATGGGTTTTCAAAATTGTATTTATGGCGCAATTGTATTTCGCTACTTGAACTTTTTTTCTTTTTACTTGATGTAGTTCTCCAATTGATCGTTTTTTAAACGTAGAGTGCGCTAAAAAACCAGTGATTTTTTTACTATGTCGGTATTTCAGATCCCCGGCCACGAAAACCCGTAAGATGCTAGGTCTATTCATATACTTCGTCTGTGACAATAGTAATATGTGTAGGTTAAGTCGAATATACTGAACAATACAATTGTAGTCTATCACTAGTAGGACCACCCTTTTTTTGTGATAATTAAATGAGTAGAAACCTTTGCACAACTTATTTTTTCAGTAATTAAATTAAATACACTTCTTACGTTTGCAATAAATCACAGAGGGCGTGAGAAACATTATGATTCTTTTCGATGTCGATACGTTACGAATGTGAAACCCGAAGTTCCATGTGATGTCATATCTATTCTGTGCTTAGTCAATGATAATGGTGTTATTCGTGGGATCAATTGATCATCATTTTTTGTTTACTTAACATGAGTGCATGCATTTTTATTAATGCACTCGAGTATAAACTTTTGTTAAAGTTCTAACAGTCGATAAAGAGGAACTCGAAAAGCAGGGGAGAAAAATTCGCGAGGACTAACACGAATAGCGCCGATAGGTTCTCCACAATCTCTTAAAAAATCCGAGTTTCCGTCTTCATAACGTATATAAACTCTGATTAATATTGAAGTCTGACAACTGTCAAATGACAAGTCTGCTTCAAATATTACGTTTAAAAGATTGAAATGGCAGCAGAGATAAAACCCGCACCGGGAGTAAATCATGATAAATTTAGCACAAGCCGAAAACCTATACTTTTATCGAAATTAGAAGGATGTAATGACGATGTTAATGCGGCTATCATTATACCGCGGGAAGATGGTGTAATTAGTGTTTGCGATGACAGGTAGATGATTACCATATTCTTGTTATAGTAACAGAATTGAATTTTTAGATTACATGGCATAATAAAAATGTTGTTATGGTAATAAAATTAAACCTATAGACTAACTGGTATATTGAAAATTCAGCATTTCATGCCCTTAAGAAACTGTTTTTTACAGGACTGTTAGAGTGTGGTTGAAGCGGGATTCTGGCCAATATTGGCCAAGTGTCTGTCAATACATGGCTGCTGGTGCAACATCGATGCACTATTGTGTACAAACTAGACAATTATTTGTTGGTTTGGAAAATGGGACTATAAATGTATGCATTGAAATAGCTTTCTCTAAAGAGAAAATAATGCTTCCTTTATTTATTTTCATTACTTTACAGGAATTCATTTTGGAGCAAGATTATAATCAAATGACTGCCATGCGTGAATATGCTGCGCATCAAGCAAGAGTTACAGGTGTTATATTTGCACCAAATTGTGAATGGGTTTTAAGCATTGGTCGAGATAAAGTATTTCAATTACATTGTTCAGAAACAGGGCAAAAATTGGGATCTTATCAGACAGATGCATGGTATACTGCTCTACAGTATCCTTTTTACAAGAAATAATTTCTAATAGGTTTTTTAATGTCAGGCTCATATAAGTTGGCATAAAAAGATTTTATTTAAAATTACATGCATCTCCTTAACTTATTCAGATTTGACGCGCAATCAAAACATGCTTTTGTTGGTGATTATTCTGGACAAATAGCAATGTTGAAATTAGATACTAATGGCGTCACACTAATCACCACTTTAAAAGCGCATACAGGGAGCATTCATACATTAGCTTGGGATTCTGAAAAGCAACTTTTGTTTTCTGGAAGTTTTGATCAGAGTATAATAGTATGGGATATTGGAGGTCGGCAAGGTACAGCGTATGAACTTCAAGGACATCAGTAAGCTGCTTAGACTGTCATGAAATTTGTTCAAATTAGTTTTCATTTCACATGGTTTATATGTGGTTTTACAGTAACAAAGTAACTGCGCTGTGCTATGCCAGCGCAGAACGTGTATTATTATCTGGAGGAGAAGATGGTGTAATAGTATGCTGGGACATGGGTGCTAACAGAAAAGAAACAGCAGCTTGGGTAGAATCAGATACGTGCCAAGTACGCAATTGTAAAATTATAATTTGATTCCACAATTTAATATTACCACTAACGTTATATTTATTATGATTTTTTATAAAAGAATATTTTATTACATTTATATAAATATTATGCCGATGAATTTAGGCCTGTGGAAGACCATTCTTTTGGAATATTAAAGCAATGATGGATCAACGACAATTGGGTTTGAGACAGCATCATTGCCGTCATTGTGGTCGTGCATTATGCGCACGATGCACATCCCAACGAATACCAATACCAGCAATGGGTTTTGAATTTGAAGTTAGAGTGTGTGATCAGTGTCATATTCAACTTAAAGCTGCAAAGTAAGTAAAGAGAATAAGATAAGACTTAGCTTTTATTAAATTTATTTCATTTGTATTATGTATCTATCATACAGCCAAACGTCTCTAGCATCATTCCATGACGCAAAGCATAATGTCGTTGGAATGGATCTCGATGCTTCTAGACGAAGATTATTAACTATCGGTCAAGATCGTCTCATTAAGATTTGGGATATTTCTGCACTTCTTCAGTGAACTTCCAGATATGTCTATTAACAAATAACGAAACTAATCAAATCGTAAGATATAAGAGAAAAATACTGTCATATTTCGATGTAAAAGTATAATATCCAGAGCCTATTTTTACGACTATAAAATCATTTTAAAATCTGTTTATTTAATTATACAAGCAATTAGGTTTTTATATATTACGATTTGCTTCTTGCATAAGAAAACTTTTAGATTCGTGAAATATTCTACGACACCAAAATAAGATATCTATAATATTGGAAAAAGAAAACGTATATGTATGTCACTTGCAAGTATGTACTCTTCCAGCAGAGAAAAAGTATCTCGATAACTTATTCAGCAAATGGTAGAAAATAGTATATTTTTTAATCTTTCTTATTTAGTGCAATCATATTTACAAACGACCAAAGTATGAATCAATAAATTATATTTGGATTGTTAATCATTACAAAAGATAATTTTAATGTTTCATTACACATTTAACACAGTGATTATGAATAAATTATTTTTGTTGTAAGTGGAAAAATATAATTATTAAAAATTATATTGAATAACCCGACGCTGTAAAAAATTTTCTAGAATATAAAATTAAATTACATTTTGATCTAATCGGCAACTTAGTTGGAAATTTAACATTTTTCAGTCGGTATTAACTTTTAATATATACAGTATGAAATTACTTTGTTATTATAAATAATTTATAATATGGAAGTACGACAATTTTGGAGAATTGCTCTAAACTGCCTATTTATTTAAATAATAGGAATTTATCAAAACATTGTCGACAACTGTCAATATTGCTCCCAATTTTTTTTCTGCATTTTTCCTAAATATTCATATCATAAAAAGATTTATGTAAAGGGTACTTCAACCTGATTTATCTCTGGATGCTTAATCTGCTTTTCAAAACATTTAAGCTAGATACAAGTATGTAAAGATAATAATTATATAATATGTATAATTAGAATGAAAATTCAGTTTCATATCCCAATATCAATTTCTTCGGAAAGAAATATATTATTTATAGATTACTTAATCTATTCAACGACATTCGCATTTATAATTATTTAATAATTTTATTTAATAATAGGATGCATTTCTTGTACCTAAATGCACCTACAATTTTTATCATTGGATTAGCATAATATTAATTTCTCTACTGTAACAAAAGTGATAAAAGCTATCGACAAGGGAGAAATTGTATCTATTATAGAAACAGGATAAAAATCGATCAATGTACGAATGCAATTTGAGCAAATGAATCGCATTAAGTATGTTTTTTCCTTTAATGTAACATTGTAGCATATACATACTTCTAAAACCGTGGAAGCTATATAACAATATTTTATAAAAAGTTAAACATATATTCTGGAATTTGGTTTCATGTGTTACACATGAAATATACTTTACTATAGAATCAGCACTCTTATGATGTCCATAAGCGATCATTTTATATATATATTTCTTAAGAAGCAATACTTCAAACTTAGGTAGATTATAGGATCTACCATTACATCAAATAATAATAGCATCTTGATTTTAGAAAATAATTTGCAGTATTCTTTATGCATCATTATACATAGCTACGGATTTGTAAGAGCGACTAAAATCATAATTTCAAACGTATGCTCAACGACCGACTTTGCCGTTGCTGTTAAAATAAACGACATCAATAACAACATAGCACGGTACTTTATTATAATTTTCAGAAACAGAATTGATTGCTGCGACATTCGTGAAAATTAGATCGTTGAAATCGAAGGTATCGTTCTCGCATAAAAAGAAGAGTGTTCGTATAGAGACGATTAATAAAATTGTTAATTTGCAATCTGTATAACATCGCCGGTGTTGTTATTGTTGCAGAGGTTCTTAATAATACTTTGCATATTAATGTGTTAAAAAAGTTACAGAAATTACATTACATATCTATGTATAAACGTTCATATAAAGTGAAAATATATTTTCAATGTAAACGATTCGTTTGTCCCTGCGCCATGTGTCTGACGTACGATCCGAGCCGACGGATCAATGAAAAAGATGTTGGAAAAAAAGTCATTCATTAAAATTCGAATTCATTCAATCGATTTTGGCGCCATCCGCGGCCAGGGCTGCAGAGTGAAGGCGAACTCCTCGGTCGGTAAAGAAAACAACGAGGAGGCGACCACGAGGTGTGAACACCAACGGCGGAGGAGGGGAACACCAAATCGCAACGCAACAGGTTGCATGTACACGATGAGATTGAGATAAAGGAAGGATCGAGGAAAATTCGGAGATCTCTTTAAAGCGAAAGCGGTGGGATTGAAGAGGTGACCGTTCGGTAAAATACCGCGAGTTAAGTAAGTTGGTAACGTATGGCGATTGGTGGGATATCGCGTAGCCGAGGCCGATTGTGGTTTAGCCGAAGGTAGTTTTTCCACCTCTTTCAGTTGGCTTCCACCTGGCACACCCGATTCGAACCGAAGCTCCCCGAGTGGACGCGTTAACGTGCCGGTCACCACCGTCGTGGCCTATTCTCTTAAACAATTACCGTTGCTTTTTGCCGTCCCATTTTACAGCGCGATACGCGATCCTCTCGTCTTTTTCATGCTCGTCGCTTTTTCTCTTCAAACGCTAAGCTTTGACGAGCTTCTCTAGTCACGTCCGGACATGGGAAGCGCGCTCCACGTCTTGCTCCAAGTGCAGTGCAGTGCCTCTTAATGGAGTGTGCCGACATCGTGTAGTCGCATTCGTCGTGTTTCTCGTTACTCGCACAAGGTACGTTCGAAATTTATTTTCCCTTCCTCGGGGAAACGTCTCTCGCAGGAGAAATTAAACGTCCGTTTGGCTGCGGGTAAGTAACATTCCATTTCGGAGTAACGAGCGATTTCGTTTCGAACGTAGATGTTGCGGATCGGGAACGAAACTCTCGACTTACTGTCGAGTCGCGTCCTTTCCTACCTCTGTAAATCGAACGATAACATCGCTACGCGTACAGAAATTTTATCATCGTGTTTATTGCCGATCATTTGGAAAAAAATGGACGTTGGTATCCACCGAATCCTCGAATCTCTGGCCAAGTATTTCATCGCCAGATTTTATTTTTAAAAGTGGAATATCCGTCCGAAGCGAGATTCTTCGAAGGCGAGTGCAATATTCATTCAACTGATAATCAGAGTCAATACGCGCAAGTGTACGGAGCTTGAACTTTAAAATGCGATAATACGTAGACGTCGAGACGATAAGATAAAGGGAATAATATTTTGCCCGCTGAATTTGAACATGTTTGCCAAATGATCGCGTATACAGTACGCACGTACGTACGATTAATTTTCGCCTCGTCAAAACGGATCGTTTTCTCCGCTATCGGCGGAGTTTCAAACTCTCTCGCGGGAAGAGACTCTGCGAGTTCGACCGATGCAGAGAAACGCACGACGAAGAATGTTGAAGTGAAAAGCGTTGCTCGTTTTCGGGGAATTACACGAACGTTCGTGTCGACGAACCGAAGAAGATCGGCTCAGTGGAAAAAGAGTAGAGTGAGGATGCACACGTGGAAAATAATCGTGACGTAAGTGATGAAGGCTCGAACTGATACGAGTATGGTGAGCAAAAAGACGCGCAGGTAGGATTTCAACGTTGTGTTGTTAGAAAACTCGAGTCAAAGTCGAACGTAGTTTAAGCACAATCGTTTAATTTATTCTTTAATATATTCTTCGGCCCAAGTTGGGATCTTTAATTTCAATCCTTTTTTAGTTTTCAATCGAATTGCGATGAAACGCGCGTCGTTCGACCGCCCATTAAAATCTCCCGTAGGCGTATACGTCCTTCGTTTCGTTCTTCCTCGTTCGTTGCAACGTTCTTTCAAGTTCAAGGGCTTTTCGTACATCTTCTCACCGAATCGCTTGCCAAAGTGTCGCTGTACACTTCACCTTCCCTGATTCAACGCGTTGTTGTCTCAGAAAAGAAAAAAAAAAAAAAAAACATTCGGACTGTCTTCGATTTCTGAAACAAGTTAAACGCGTCGATGATCGCGTTGTGACGAGAGAAGAGGGAAGATAAAAGTAACAAATGCCGAGAGAGGTTCGTCGACCCGTGAGTTATTCGTGCGAGTATAACAGAAGCAAATTCGACGCTAATGACGCGTAAACTGTAATTCTTCTGTTGGGTTTCGATCGTGCCTCCTTCGCAGAGTCGAAGATTCTTCATTCGACGTGACTTGCCCGGTGTCCAACCGCAACCCGATTCGATTCAATCGGTTTTCCCTTTGGCAAATTGTGTTGTCGCGAATGAGAGTCAATTCGACAGAGAATGCGCGGTAAGAGAAGGGAGATCAATCTCGTGGCAAGATTCCTCGATGGATATTCTCGAAAGGTGTACGGCTGAGTAGTAGCAGCAGAAACTGTCTAACCCACTTTTGCGAACAGGTTTACGCTTGTGCTGCTTCCACTGTAACGGTGATCAGCCGGACATCATCATCGCATGCTGGAATGATACTTCTCCAAATAGATATTCGCGTAAGAGAATTCGACTCGATCGCCGAACCGTTGAATCTGGTTGCAGCGAGTCAATCGCAGCAGCCATTCTCTCTCTCTCTCTCTCTCTCTCTCTGGAATTTCATATTTTTCTGTCTTCGAACGTTTGTCCTGTTTATCGGCAATGTTGTCTACTTCTCCTGCTCGAGATGTTTCCCATTTCATTTTACTGCTTTGCGTATAAAGTGCGAAAAAAAAGAGAAGACGAAGGCAAAAGGGAGGAGCGAGGGGAGAACGAAAAAGAAAGAAAGAAAGTTTTGTTTTCTTTCAGGCGGAGTGCCGACAACGACGACTTGAGAGATGGTCATCGTCACGCGGGTGAGTATTATCGCGACATAGCTTGTCGTTTCGCGCGTCTTCTTCTTCTTCTTCTGTTCCGGGCGATTGGTAAATCGATTAGAGTACGCGACGGATGCAACGTACGAAGGAAAACGAGGAAAACGTATCGACGATCCGGCGTTCGGCGCGCGACGCTACCGCTTTCTTCGAAGACGATCAGTAGGAATCTGTGACAAGTGAAAATGACGGAGATCGACAGATTCTTTCACCGCCTGAAAAGTCACGCACAAATAATACGTCGAAGCTCGATATCAATGCCCAGGAATTAATTAATCAAACATCAATTCGTTTACCAATATCGAACATTAGGATCGCTAATGCAGTGCAACTAGTCTCCGACTTATCGTAGAGTCACGAAAATTTCCCCGAGTAATTAGAAAAAAAAAAAAAGGAAAAAAACGTGATCGACATATAACGAATGGATGCAAGTTTGCAAATTGCGGTTGCGGCGCGAACCTCCCGTCCGCGAGGAACGAAGAACGCGTTCCGATCTAATCGATCAGAGGGAAAAAAGTCGACGGTGGATGACGTAGAGGCAACGTCGTCGCCGGCGCTGCGGCAAACGTGGGACCTGAAGACGGATGGTCGGTTAATTAGGCATAGTTAACGGTCCTTCGTCACTTGGCGTATGCCCTGAACGGCTCAGCATTTCACGCGAGCGAACCAACCATCGTATAACGGGACGCGAATCGTTTTACCGGACACGCGTTTGTACCCTCGATCGTATTCTATTCCTTCCCCGTGGCAAACGTGCCACACGGGTCTTCCAGCATCAAGTTTCCGAGTGTCGTTCGATCGTAATCGCCATGGGGAAAAAAAATCCCACCGTGTTGAAGATCCAGCAGAGATACGCGAGCGCGAGCGGACGGCCGAAAGTAAAACCGACCGGCAAAGGAAAGAGCCGAATCGAAGGGAGACTCCGCTCCGAGGTAACGAGCGGACGAGCTCTCTTCCGATGTGGTTCCGGTGAGGTGAACAATCGGAACGTATATACGAATATCAGGCACAGTCTGTGCGTTCGTATAGACGTGTCCGTAGCATAGGCTAACTTAGAGGTTCTCAAATTGCCTGAAACACGCGCGGTTTCCGTATCGTTGTTCGAATCGGATAGCGATCGATCGATCGGGCGGCGTCGAACGATCTGGAAAATCTCGTTCGAGATGAAGCGAGATTTCGATTTTTCGCTTTGACATTTGATAGAGTCAATTGTTTTCGCTGCCTTTACGGCTTGAAAATAGCTGCGAATGCTACGAACGCACGGATGCGCGGAGCCAACGATGCAAACGATTACACGCGAAACGACGCGCGAGTTTTTGTTCGCGAAAATTTGATGGAAATTCCAAACGACTAGCAGTCGTTCTGATCGCCAGATGTAATTAATACTCGTCCGGTCGTTTCCACGCTGGATGAACCTATCTCTACCAAGCGTAAATCGTAAAAATTATAGCTCGCTCGCTGAAAAACGCCGAAGCGTTTTCGTTTGAGACGAGAGCTCGAAGGACGATCGATCGCGTCGCGTTCCACTGTCGCTGGAAGCCGGAATAATGCCCGTTTGCTTGGCTAATTGCGTTAACGCTGACTGCGCGAGACAGCGGCGGAAGGGCGAGGAGGAGGAACGATCGAGTTCGAAGAGCGGAAAACGGGAAGTTGCACGGTGCGTACGCTTCTCACGATCGAATTCGATTCCTTCGCTGTCGGCGGTCACCGTACGAATCTTCGATTATAGTTTCCAGCGTAGTGTTAATTTTGGCAGTTGTTTCTTTTACTATTACATCTCTTACACACGCGTGCGTAGTTACATCGCGCGTAACGACAAAACTCGACCTCGTCGTGTTAATTTTCTAAAGCGAGAGAAGAGAAAGAAGAAGGCGGGCATCTGTCGGCGTTCGAATGCTAAGATACGGGCAATTTTGTTGGTTATTATTGGAACGTGTGCTCGTAAGCGTCATTATTCCCGCGTCATTATTCCCGAAACAAAGGAAGGAAATTATCGGTGAACAAGAAAAAGTAAAAAATAAAAAATTACGTTGCAGGGAGATTACATATGGATCGAACCAATCTCAGGGAGAGAATTTGACGTTGCGATCGGAGCACGAGTAATATCCGCGGAAGGCAGACGCATTCAAGTGAAAGACGACGATAACAAGGTAATCGTTACCTACTTTTCCGCGTTCACCGAATTTCTCGGCTCGGCTCGAAAACTTGTTGCACATTTCTCTTGCCTATTGGAGATTTACAAGTTGTGCACGACGCCGAGAAACTGATGCCCGAACAGGTTTCGCCGGTGCATGTTCATTCGGGAATTTTCAGGAACAATGGCTGACACCGGAGAGACGAATAAAGGCAATGCATGCCACTTCTGTGCAAGGTGTAGAAGATATGATCAGCTTAGGAGACCTCCATGAAGCTGGCATATTGAGGAATCTGTTGATTCGTTACAACGAGAATCTCATATACGTACGTAAGCAGTTTTTGATCACGCGATAAATCTCTGAACAGCACTGCGATTTTTCATTTCATTTCTATCTCTTTAGGAAATATGAATTGTTTGAACCATTGTTTTCTTTTTTTTTTTTTTTTTTTTTTGCGCAGACCTACACGGGTTCCATTCTAGTCGCCGTGAATCCGTATCAGATACTGCCCATTTATACCGCGGAACAAATCAAACTGTACAAGGATCGTAAAATCGGCGAACTACCGCCGCACATATTCGCCATAGGAGACAATAGTTACGCGCATATGAATCGATACGGTCAGGATCAGTGCATAGTGATCAGGTATCTCTCTATCCGCGGAGTATTCCGAGCGGTTCTCTCCTTTTTCTATATTTTTCTATTGAGAAATGGCTTGTCAAATCCACGAATGTTTGTGCCGTAGCGGCGAGAGCGGGGCCGGAAAAACGGAAAGCACGAAACTGATTTTGCAATATCTGGCAGCGATCAGCGGCAAGCATTCTTGGATCGAGCAGCAAATTTTGGAAGCGAATCCGATCTTGGAAGGTAAGCAATCTCGTTTGCGATCGGTCGTGTTACGGACAAAGGCAAAAGCGATTGATCACTGTGGTGGTTTTCGTCGTAGCGTTCGGTAATGCGAAAACGGTACGGAACGACAATTCGTCCCGTTTTGGAAAATACATCGACATACACTTCAACGAGCAAGGGGTGATAGAGGGGGCGAAAATCGAGCAGTATCTCTTGGAAAAGTCACGCATAGTCTCGCAAAGTTTGGACGAGAGGAATTATCATATATTTTACTGCATGCTCGCCGGTCTTTCGAAAGAGGAGAAGCAGAAACTGGAACTGGAGGATGCCTCTTCGTACAAGTACTTAACGGGGGTAACGTTTCGATTTCAAACGAAATTATGCTTGATATTCCCAACTAAAAACGTAACGATTTCGCTTCTCAGGGTGGTAGTATCACGTGCGAGGGTCGGGACGACGCTGCTGAATTTGCCGACATCAGATCAGCGATGAAAGTGTTGTTGTTCTCCGACATGGAAATATGGGAGATACTCAAGCTGCTCGCTGCCCTGTTGCACACGGGAAACGTGAAATACAGAGCGATCGTCGTAGGTAAGCATGATTCGTGTAATATTAAAGTTCGACTCTACGTACGTTTTTTTTTTTTTACTTTTTAGATAATCTAGACGCTACCGAAATACCGGAACAAACGAACGTGCAGAGGGTGGCGCATTTACTGGGCGTGCCTGTACAATCTTTGATCGACGCTCTTACACGCAAAACGATATTCGCTCACGGTGAGACTGTTGTAAGTAAGGAATAATTCGCGTTACGTTCCTATGCACACGCGGGAATACACACAGAACATTATTATGACAGCCAGTAGTGAAAGATACTTTTCCTGTTGTTGATCGGGATTATAATGCGTTTGCGCAGGTGTCCACGTTATCCAGGGATCAATCGGTGGACATCAGAGACGCGTTCGTCAAGGGAATATACGGACGATTGTTCGTCCATATCGTGAAGAAGATCAACGAAGCGATTTACAGGCCGAAGAACACGTCTCGAAGCGCCATTGGGGTACTGGATATATTCGGCTTTGAAAATTTCAGCCACAACAGCTTCGAGCAATTCTGCATCAACTATGCCAACGAAAATCTGCAACAATTTTTCGTGCAACACATTTTCAAGCTCGAGCAAGAGGAGTACAATCACGAGGGTATCAACTGGCAGCACATCGAGTTCGTCGACAATCAGGACGCGCTCGATTTGATAGCTATCAAGCAGTTGAACATCATGGCCTTGATAGACGAAGAGTCAAAGTTCCCGAAGGGTACCGACCAGACGATGCTAGCCAAGATACACAAAACGCACGGAAGCCATCGGAATTACTTGAAACCGAAATCGGACATCAACACGTCGTTCGGTCTTAATCACTTCGCCGGCGTTGTGTTCTACGACACCAGGAGCTTCCTCGAGAAGAACAGAGATACGTTTAGCGCCGATCTGTTGCAACTGATTCACATATCCTCGAATAAGTTTCTGCAGGCTTGTTTCACCGAGGATATCGGCATGGGATCGGAGACGAGGAAAAGAGCACCGACTCTCTCCACTCAGTTCAAAAAGTCCTTGGACTCTCTGATGAGGACGTTGTGCAGTTGCCAGCCGTTCTTCATCAGATGCATCAAGCCGAACGAGTACAAGAAACCGATGATGTTCGACAGGGGTCTTTGCTGCCGACAGTTGAGATACTCCGGCATGATGGAAACGATTCGAATTCGCAGAGCCGGTTATCCGATCAGGCATTCCTTCCCGGAGTTCGTCGAGAGATATCGGTTTCTAATTCCCGGTATACCTCCGGCGCACAAGGTCGACTGCCGCGCAGTCACGTCAAAAATCTGTCACATAGTGTTAGGAAGATCGGACTATCAACTCGGGCACACGAAGGTGTTCCTCAAAGACGCTCACGACTTGTTCTTGGAGCAGGAACGCGATCGCGTCTTAACGCGGAAGATTCTGATACTTCAACGGAATATACGCGGCTGGGTTTACAGGCGGAGATTCCTTCGCATGAGGGCAGCCGCGACCGTCATCGAGAAATACTGGAGAGGTTACGCGCAACGGCAACGATACAAACGGATGCGTATCGGTTACATGCGGCTTCAGGCGCTGATCAGATCGCGGGTGTTGTCGCACAGATTCAGGCATCTCAGGGGACACATAGTCGCGCTTCAAGCGCGAGCCAGAGGCCATTTGGTACGGAGGATGTATCAAAAGAAGTTGTGGGCGATCGTGAAGATACAGGCGCACGTACGAAGATTGATCGCGCAGAGGCGTTACAAGAAGATCAAGTACGAATATCGGTTGCACGTCGAGGCGCTGAGACTTCGGAAGAAAGAGGAGAGGGAGCTGAAGGATCAAGGGAACAAACGGGCGAAGGAGATCGCCGAGCAGAACTACAGAGAACGAATGCAAGAATTGGAAAGGAAAGAGATAGAGATGGAGCTGGAGGACCGACGTAGAATGGAAATTAAGAAGAACCTGATAAACGACGCAGCCAAGAAGCAAGACGAGCCGGTCGACGATAGCAAATTGGTCGAGGCTATGTTTGATTTCCTGCCGGATTCGAGCAGCGAGGCTCCTACTCCTGCCAGAGAGACCTCCGTATTCAACGATCTACCTGCCCCGAAGGCGGACCAACAGGAAATCATCAGTCCCGTTCAAACAGCATCCGAGGACGAGGAGGATTTGTCAGAGTTCAAGTTCCAAAAGTTCGCGGCAACGTACTTCCAAGGGAACATAACGCATCAATATTCCAGGAAACCTTTGAAACACCCGTTGTTACCATTGCACACGCAAGGAGATCAATTGGCCGCCCAAGCGTTGTGGATCACGATACTTCGTTTCACCGGTGATCTGCCCGAGCCGAGATTTCACACGATGGACAGAGACACCACCTCGGTCATGTCGAAAGTCACCGCGACGCTCGGCCGTAACTTCATACGGAGCAAAGAGTTTCAAGAAGCGCAGATGATGGGCGTCGACCCGGAGACGTTTCTCAGACAGAAACCACGCTCGATAAGGCACAAATTGGTCTCGTTAACGTTGAAACGGAAGAACAAATTGGGCGAGGACGTTAGGCGAAAGCTGCAAGAGGACGAATACACGGCGGATAGTTATCAGTCGTGGCTGGAGGCAAGACCAACGTCGAATCTCGAGAAACTTCACTTCATCATCGGTCACGGAATATTACGCGCGGAATTGAGGGACGAGATCTACTGTCAGATATGCAAGCAACTGACCAACAATCCTTCCAAGTCGTCGCACGCACGTGGCTGGATCCTGCTGTCGTTGTGCGTCGGCTGTTTCGCTCCGTCCGAGAAGTTTGTCAATTACTTGCGAGCGTTCATCAGGGAGGGGCCACCGGGATACGCGCCGTACTGCGAGGATCGGCTCAAGAGAACGTTCAACAACGGCACGCGGAACCAGCCGCCGAGCTGGTTGGAGCTCCAAGCGACCAAATCGAAGAAACCGATTATGCTGCCGATCACGTTTATGGATGGTAACACTAAAACGCTGCTTGCTGATTCCGCGACCACGGCCAGGGAACTGTGCAACCAGCTATCCGATAAGATATCGTTGCGCGACCAGTTCGGCTTTTCCCTCTATATCGCGTTGTTCGATAAAGTCTCGTCGCTTGGTAGCGGCGGCGACCACGTGATGGATGCCATCTCTCAATGCGAGCAATACGCCAAGGAGCAAGGTGCTCAAGAGCGGAACGCCCCGTGGCGATTGTTCTTCAGAAAGGAGATATTCGCGCCTTGGCACGAGCCAACCGAGGATCAAGTCGCTACCAATTTGATTTATCAACAGGTTGTCAGGGGGGTGAAGTTCGGCGAGTATCGTTGCGACAAGGAGGAAGATCTAGCGATGATCGCCGCCCAACAATACTACATCGAGTATCACACCGACATGAACGTCGACAGGCTTTACACCCTTTTGCCGAATTACATTCCGGATTACTGTCTGACCGGTATCGACAAGGCGATCGACAGATGGGGACATCTAGTTTTACAAGCGTATAAAAAGGTGAAGTTAGATTCTTCTCGCTGTGCGCACCTCTTTCATCAACGACGTGTATAATTCGACGAAACGAAATCTCTCTTCTTGCAGAGTTACTATTTAAAGGAGAAAGTACTTGCTTTACGAGTCAAGGAAGATATCGTTGGTTACGCGAAGTTCAAATGGCCATTGCTTTTCTCTCGCTTCTACGAGGCGTACAGGAATTCCGGCCCGAACTTGCCGAAAAACGACGTCATCATAGCCGTAAATTGGACCGGAGTGTATGTTGTAGACGATCAGGAACAGGTGCTTCTCGAATTGTCGTTTCCCGAAATCACCACTGTGTCTAGTCAAAAGTATGCATCCGTTTAACCGTTTCTCTTCTTAAACACCATCTCGCACTTTATATCGCGGCCCTAAATTCTTTCTTAATTCACTTTCAGAACGAACAAAATGTTCACGCAAACGTTCAACTTATCAACAGTGCGAGGGGAAGAATTCACTTTCCAAAGCCCAAACGCCGAAGACATTCGCGATCTGGTGGTGTACTTCTTGGAGGGTTTGAAGAAACGTAGCAAATACGTTATCGCGTTGCAAGATTACAAAGCACCGGGCGAAGGCTCGTCATTCTTGACCTTTCAAAAGGGTGATCTTATCATTCTGGAGGATGAAAGTACCGGTGAAACCGTCCTTAATTCAGGATGGTGTGTCGGCACTTGCGAAAGAACCGGCGAAAAGGGCGATTTTCCAGCCGAGACGGTTTATGTCTTGCCCTCGCTAACAAAACCACCGAACGATATCCTAGTAAGGCGAACGCGCGTCCTTTCTGCGCGATGTCCTCTTATGTTTCGATATCTATCCTTTCTGTCGTATAAATTTAAAAAGTCTCGATAATCGATTCCCTTTTCCAGTCCTTATTCAGCATCGAAGGAACGGAAAATGGCCGTAAACTATATCCGCAGCAAGTAAACGGAATAGAATCCCGCGACAAACCTCACACTCTTCTGGAGTATGCTATCGATCACTTTCGGTAACGTAACCCTTATCACCGTAAAATACGCGACCAGTTTCTTTCACCGTCTATGAGTTACAATTGAGAGATGTTTCTTTCGTGTTTCGTTGCAGAACGCCGCCGAAAAGAACGATGTCGAAAGCGTTGACCTTGACAACTGCGCGACGCGGCCACACCGACGAGTTATGGCACCATTCCAGAGATCCTATTAAGCAGCCCCTCTTAAAGAAGTTGATATCGAAAGAAGAATTGGCCGAAGAAGCGTGTTTCGCTTTTAACGCGATCCTGAAGTATATGGGTGACCTGCCAACGAAAAGACCACGTATCGGTAACGAGTATACCGATCTCATCTTCGACGGGCCGCTGAAAAACGAAATTCTTCGGGATGAAATTTATTGTCAAATCATGAAACAGCTGACTGATAACCGGAATAGACTGAGCGAAGAACGTGGTTGGGAGTTGATGTGGCTTGCCACCGGTCTTTTCACTTGCAGCCAAAGTCTCTTGAAAGTAAGACATTTCGTTCAAGTAACATTCATAACGCTGACCTACCGTGAATCCGCTCACGTATCTCTGCTCGTTACTTACAGGAACTGACACTGTTTCTACGTACAAGACGGCATCCCATATCTCAGGACTCTCTACAAAGGCTACAAAAAACTTTACGCAACGGTCAACGAAAATACCCTCCACATCAAGTAGAAGTAGAAGCTATACAGCACAAAACGACGCAAATATTTCACAAAGTTTACTTCCCCGACGATACGGATGAAGTGCGTACGCTTTAAGCGACCATTTTAATTTCAAAAACAATTGTGAAATTAATTTATTTCTGTTGGACAGGCATTCGAAGTGGACTCGTCGACTAGAGCTAAAGACTTTTGTCAAAATATAGCGCAAAGATTAAACTTACGTTCTGCGGAAGGATTCAGTCTCTTCGTGAAGATTGCCGATAAGGTTATCTCAGTTCCGGAAGGAGATTTCTTCTTTGATTTTGTACGACATTTGACGGACTGGATAAGAAAAGCTCGACCGTCTCGCGATGGTACATGTAGTTTTTTATGATTAATCGTTATACAAAAAAATGCAACGAAGATCACCGCAAGATTTTCGTATATTTTGCCTAGGTGTGTCAGCACAGTTTACGTATCAAGTATTTTTCATGAAGAAGTTGTGGACCAACACTGTTCCCGGTAAAGATAGAAATGCAGATCTCATTTTCCACTTCCACCAGGAGCTTCCTAAATTGTTAAGAGGTAACACTTGCCTTTCACTTCTGTAACATTTTGTCATATCCCAACTCTGATCATTTTATACTTTTCATATAACTCCCTTTTATATAGGCTACCACAAATGTACTAAGGAAGAAGCCTCCAGATTAGCAGCGTTAGTGTACAGAGTTCGTTTTGGTGAAAGCAAGCAGGAACTTCAAGCGATTCCGTAAGTTAAATCTCTTCAAATATTCTGTACTCGTGTACAAGCTTTTATTAATAATTTATAAATATTTCCTAGGCAAATGTTGAGAGAGCTTATACCTGGTGATTTGGTAAAGGTACAAAGTTCCAATGATTGGAAAAGATCAATAATAGCAGCGTACAACCAAGATGCTGGTGAGATATTGTTTCAATTATATTTAAGCGCATTTTACACTTTCAGTCCCTGTTATGTGTATGTATGTAATATCTTCCTCCGTAGGTATGAGTCCAGAAGATGCCAAAATAACTTTCTTGAAAATAGTTTATCGATGGCCGACCTTTGGTTCAGCGTTTTTCGAAGTCAAGCAAAGTACAGAACCAAATTATCCAGAATTGTTGTTAATCGCTATAAATAAGCACGGTGTAAGTCTTATACATCCACAAACGAAAGTAAGTGAACAAATTTTCTTTTCTTTCGTTAATTAATAATTAAGCTAATACGTACAAATGTTTCCTGTCGACATTTATGTTTGTAGGATATACTAGTGACGCATCCTTTTACAAGAATCTCAAACTGGTCGTCAGGTAATACCTATTTTCATATGACGATTGGAAATTTAGTCCGTGGTTCGAAACTGTTGTGCGAAACTTCACTCGGATACAAAATGGACGATCTATTAACATCGTATATTTCGTTAATGCTCACAAACATGAATAAACAACGTACAATACGGATAAAATAAATGCGATGCTGCTAAATTTGATTCGCAGAATTAAACATTGGAGCAAGATAGTATAAGCAAAATATAAAAAAAGAAGAAACGCCGGATAATTCAATAATTAAAATTACAGATGATCGATATTGATTTGACCTACATATGTTATTTATCAAACTCAGTTTCATATATCTATAGAAGATTTATTTAAATAGCAATCGTTCTCGATATAACAATGATTTCTATAACTATAGACACTCGCGAAAAATACAATTTTTTTACACAAAGAGTATTGATAAGCACAATAGCAAATTTCATATAGTAACAAATGTTTTATACATGTCTTTTCTTTATACATTTTTTTATTACATATACATATCTAATATATATAAATATATATATATATGTATATACATATGGATGTGTATGTATATATGTATATGTGTGTGTGTCTATATATATATACATATATATAAGCTTTGATATTCATTGTCGTTTAATTATTGCAACGACTGAAAACATAAAAGAAATCATAGTGCACGTGTACACAAGTAATTAGTTTAAAAGAATGTATATGACTTATTTACAAATAAGATTTTCATACAATTTTGTAAAATATTACATTTAGTTTGTAAGGGAGAGTGAGAGATTGAAAGTGAGTGAATGAAAGAAAGAAAGAGAGAGAACTTCACATTCAAACGTATTCTTATGTAAAAGCAGATATGCAAAGCAGACAGGATGAAATGTGATTGAAAACAATTCCGTATCTGCAAAAAAATTATGGAAAAAATTAAGAACTTACGCTTGAACGTCACTTGAAATAGTTTTCCAATATAATGAATCGTAATGATTACTCAATGATTATCCGTCCACTGATACGTGTAAGGATGTAATTATTATTAACTCGCAATTTATTACTGTGAATAAAGATAATCGTATTCTTCAGGTACTTGGTGCAAATTTTAATCGTGGGTAAATTCCCATGGTATACATGTACCGACATTCCTGTTTTACAATGGATCTCTTCAGGAAGACAATTCCCAAAGCGATTTTATCTCGCTTCCTGCTGCAGATAATTATATTCGATGGTATCTAGAAAAAAGCCCGTACCGATTCGACCAAGTAGAGGAGTCAAGAAACGAATTTCTAGCTAATAACTTTTAGATTTCGTCTCTTCAATTTCGTTGCTTCGATTGAAACTTATTATCACATGTTTCGTGTACAAATAATAATCTCATCTTGTTCATGTTTCTAACAATTACAGTGAAATGCAAAAAGTCGCATCGATTCTCCCCTGATAATTTTTTCAAAATACCTCGGCCAATTAATGCGACAATTATATAATGCACCGGTTCTCTCTATCACCGAATCTTGGGATTTGGAAATAACGTATAGGTAATGGAGTAAAGACTTTATTATATAAAACTTTCCAATTTATTGTAAAACATAGAGAGACATAAAAACGTATATATTTAGACTTTTCTTTCGTGTTATTCATTTAAAATGCACCGATATACATCGTATTTTCACGCGAATAAGCATATTGTCGTTTCTATGGATGATACCAAGAATTTTGTTTAAAAAATCAAGATATCAGTGATCAGTGAGATTAATAGGAAGCGTGCACAATATTTCAATGTCTACATTAAAAAAAGCAATTAAAGGTTTCATTGACGAAATAGTACATTAATTATGGAAATAAATAATCGTCAGTAAGGTAAAATATGGTTAGCGCACAAAATCAACCATAATTGAATTGCCATTTCGACAAGATACTATTGATCCTTTTCATCTGTATAATTTCTATAAAAAGAAAATCTTTACAAAACTGACATGACAACTGGTCTGAAATGTTACATGCTGCGTCATGTATTATGAGAGAAATGCGATTATAAAGTTCCATCAGTTTTGCATCGATGCATGTAGTATGTAAAATAGCATACGCTTTAAACAATTAAATTACGTTTGAAATAGTCCGAGATATTATGAAAGGAAGGAAGAAACGTAATAGATGGAAATTTCCAATTCAATGATGAAAAATGAAGAATCGTTTGAATATTTGCCTCGCATACTTAACTCGTATCTTGGTCGATATTCGCAAGTCACTCGTCTTTCATTTCTAAATAAAGACGATAGCTTTTAAAAGCTTGTCTTACGATTTTATAAATGTAAAAAATTAGCAGCAAGAGCATGCTAAAAATTATGCATACACACGTGTAGGCATATATGTTACATATCGCGTGTGTAGTGTCAACATACTTGTAGTGTGTCAACGGTCAATTTAAAACCAAACAAGATTCCCTCGATCGAACAAGACTGATCTTTCGAAGAACGAACCAGCCGACGAGAAATGTACAATCATTTCTAATGATCGATATGCAATTACACGGTCTAAGCCGTTCAAGTCTTGATAGCTGGTCTAATACGACGCAGAGATTTCATAGCACGCGTTTCGTTTCGTCGTTTAACAAGGTGAACAAGTCCTCGAGTTTATCCTCCCCCTTCCCACTCATTAATTTTATCAACTAATTAGCTAAATATATTCACATTCGTAAAAAGCTCTTAATTCTATGATCGCTATAAATTCTAATCCCTGTGTGTAATTCTGTATTAACACTTAAAGCTAGGAACCTACGTACTTATGAACATAGAGAAACGATTCTCGGTACGGCACACTGTACACACATCCAACGTAACATAACGCAACAGAACGCAACGTAATGCGACGCAATGCAACGTAATGTAGCGAGACACGGTTGCTACGTGCTGGATTTTGTATTGTCTAAACTCGTTGCAACGCCATCGATTCGGAGCAACAGGTCTTTCGCCGCGTAGGTTGCCGCGGAGTTGGCATCGTCACTGACAGGCTCGTTGCTATCGATAGAGGCAACCGAAATATCGTTTGGAGATTGAACGAGAGTATCAGCGTTCGTCTCGCTAACTCGTAAACTTTGGTGATGCACACTGTAACTCTCTAGAAAACATCAGAGGCCCGACTGAGGTGGTTGATGGGTGTTCCAAGGTACATCCGCGATCGCGGGTGGCATGCTCGCTTGATTATGCATGGCGCGCGGTGCTCTCATGATTTCATCCGCGGGGGGACAGTGAGGCCGTGGACCAGGCTCTGGAGTGTAGGTAAACGTTAGGCCAGTCGCGTAGATAATACCATCGTTGCGAACCAACGAAACGGGCACCTGTGTCGGTTGCCGTACCCAGAGCCATTCACCCCTGAATTGTGATATATCTGGCACCACGCAAAGCATACTCTCTTGACACCTGTACATAGTTTCCGCTTCAACATCACCGAACCATACCTGAAGATTAGGCGTAAAATTATCTCCCGTTAATTCGAGCATTGCCACGTCGCCGCCACCGTTCAAGTGCAAACTGTGGACCAATGGTACCGGTGTCACCGGTGATCTAACCGGACCCATGCCTTCGAAGAACTGATATTCCGCCTTATCAGTGCTGATTATTGTCCAACAGGCACCGTCGTTTATCATCTCTTTGTTCGCCTCCTTCGGACAAGGAGTAGCTTGAAATTGGATAATACGTTCTTGAGACAAACAGAGGTACATGTGGTCTGTGTCTTTCATATAGAAGGCGCATTTGTGCAACTGCGAAACTGGATCGTCCGCTTCTAAGCTAGCCATTTGCTTGTCCACTTTCCGAATTACTAAACGTGGAAGCGCCATTCCCGTTACCGAACATACCAATTTCACTGTACTGCCATAATGTACATAACCATCTCGCACCTGAAACTCCTCCGACTCGCTCTCGTTGTCGTCCAACAAGTGTATGGTGAACGCGCCCCATTGCGTCGAGCTCGCATGAAAATTTCCGTTCTCCACGTGAAGATAACGCGTGCTAACTGTCTGAGATCGCAACCGATTGAACAGCGCGACTTTTGTCCCGCTGGCTATACACAAATCGGCATTTTTCAACGATTGCTTCTTCTTTGAGGGCTTCGAGATCACTTTGATTCGTTTACTATGAAACACACCGATATCGTGTCCGCTGCCATAAAACATTTTCACCGACAGCATAAAGTGCTTCCTCTTATCCGAATCTGAAATATAAAGCGTCTTTGCCGCGCAATACTGTTTACCATTGTTCAGATCCAATTGTTGCATGTCTTGATCGGAATTACCGATTCCGATAAACGCGCAAAGCTGAGCGGATTGCTCGCTCTCTCCCTCGCGAAGCATCTGCTCTTGCCGCATTCTCCACCCATCGCCAAACAAATAGATACACGGTGGAGGGCAGAAGAATCGTTTCTCGTTACCGTACGACTTTTGTGCAACCTTTGCGTGAAGAATTACAATAACCATGTCGCTTCTATCGCGCAAATAACGTTCCATTGCTTCGCGTGTCAACCTTTGATCTTGATGATCCGGTCTATAGACACTGGATCCAAATCGAGGGTAAACCGACATGACCGAAGTCGGCGAAGGAGGAGATTGCATTCCATGCGCCATCGTCGGCAAACCAAACTGGTGTGGCATATTTAACCTTCGCTTCTATTCTCTCGACTATATAACAGAGCTGTTATGTTGTTTGCAGACTATCCTTGTCATCTATGAATGTCATAATTGCCTCTGCCTGTTTACCTGAAATACATTCCATCAAGACCAATTATAAGCCAGTATCGTTTGCTATTTTTGACTATGTTCTTATCTCTTTTAAATATTCTTTTATTAAATTAAGATCTAAGAAAACTATTGTTGATTTATATTGTTAAAACAAATTGAAATGAAAGTACACAAACATCTCTCATAATTTATTGCAAGAAACCAAATATATATATTATTCTAAAGAATAATCTAAAGCAAGACACCAAATAATATATATATATTATTCTAAACTGTATTTTTTAGAAAAAACTGTCTTTCTAACTAAATATCTTTGAATAGGCATAGAGGCATAGGCTCTGTTCATTTAAAACCTTAGTGTGGGAAAGATTTTTGTTTTTTACAATGCAAGATATAATTAACGTAAGGTATCTTTCTTTAAACGAGCTACAAGAATTGCTAGTCTTAGTACAGGAAAGAGGAAATGTACATATATACTGTGGGAACCAAGCTGAGCTCATTTTTCCTGCATGAATTAAATCACCCTTGTTCGTTGTATCTATACAATTATATCCACGTATTTGCAGCACAAAGATGTTCTCTGATTAATTTTATATATATGTTAAAATGACTTCTTTAAACCTTAATTTTTCAAATATCATGCTCAGTATAAGAAAATTATATTACACGTTTCTATATGTTTTACATATCAAAATAGTATTCTAGAAAAAGTTAAAAGCTTGTGCTTCCTAATAAAACTTGCAATGCCACTTGTGCAATGACACAAGTTAGATATACTTGTCACTCTTAATTAAATGCATCATGAATAGAATTATAAATACATCCTTCTGTGTGAAATCAACGTGTTAAACTTTATGTATTATGACACACTGTAATAAAAGAATTTATATTATTACATAAGTAATAAATTAGTTAAATTGCATGCATGCTATAAGTTCTATAGATATAAAATTATATGTAATTTTGTAAAAAAGATAAGATTTCCTTGCTAAAAATTAATTTCTGAGACACTCTGAAATTTACACTTTCTAATACTTTAATGACAAAAACTGAACACTGTGATTGTCTATTGCAGATTCTTTTAATTTTGTAAGTAGACTGATAAGTGTACTGCTGATAAGAGGCAAACACGATTCTTTCAATAAAATATTAGCAAACTATTATAAACCGTTTATTTACATTTCTGACGCAAAGGTTACACCGAAAACAGGTTACGTTTTTGATGCTTACCTCATTTTTTTACAATAACTTGACTTGAAACATAAATCCCAATGCATTTTCTTAAATTAATAATTATTCACAAATGTCACACTGTTCCTTGATTCTTCACCATTCGCAAATCCTTTTGCGTCCTCGTCACCTATTCTCCCTAATCCATTCAAAAAACACCTGTTCACTTTCCGAATTTTCCGAACAGTCTTACCAACCTTTGGAAATGATTCAGCCGCGCGCGCGCGCCACTTTAAATCCGAAATACAAACATACCGTTTCGAAACACTGTTTAAAACTAATATATGCTCTTTGGTTCCTGCTTATTTTCAGGCTTTTCGCCTGAAAATTCTTTCTTATCACTTTGGAGCTAACAACGAATAACAGACAGTCATCACGACAACCAATATGAACAAATACACGACCTACTCCGACGGTGTCCGCCGAGTAACTAAGTTCGAAACGACAACGTAGAGTTATTACTACCCGCGTAAGTGGCTATAACAGGAGCGTATTTGTAAAGGGATCCATAAACCCCTTCGTGTAAAACCAATAATTATTTGTTTAAATATCTAAATCATTACATTCTTCTTTCGTCAAATGTGGGTATAAAATATAAATTTTCAAGACAAAACAAAGAGATATTGAATAAGGAAAACAAAAGATAATCAGATATAATTATTTTTGAATAGATGGAAGTACTTTATGAAATTATACTTCCGACGCTTCGAACAGGAATATTATTGTATGATTTTTAATTCGTCTAAGTAATATGGACAATGATCGTACGTGTTAATAACTTACAAAATTGGAATAGAAATGTAACAATTTTTAGAGTTTCGAATAGTTACGTTACTGAGCTGCTGATTCTATTGTTTTACTGTTGTACAATGGCCTGGTCGACCCAAGCGCCTCCAGTTTCCCCTCTTATTCCCCACCTGACGTGAGCTGCTCCCCTCTACTCCGTGTGTGCCGTGGAATTGCTGCCGCAAAAGGATGTTGGGGTTACCCTGGGGGGCGTGGGAAAAACCTGCTGTGGGAAAGAGTGGGTGGCCTCTACCTCACTTCACTTCTCTCATGATGACGATACGATATATACATCATGTCCACGAGTGTGTATATGCGCATGAAGTAGACGAGTTGCACACTACTGTTTTCACATATTACGTTGGGCACTTGTATTCGAATCACATGAACGGCCAATAGCCTGGTACTGCGTAATATAGGACGAGTACGTGTGGATAGACAAATTAACGTTCTATAAGTTCACCTTTTATTCCGTCGAAAGTCTAGTCTTTGCCAGATCAAAAAATTCACATGAATTTTGTACCAGTGAACATTATCGATAAAAACGTATGTTATTAAAAATTATTTACTGCGTGAACGTCGCTTCTCGCTATCTGTTGTATATAAATATTTCTCGAAAACCTTGTAATTTTTCTCAATGAAAAATCTTATTTTGCTACTTAAAATTTCAATACTATAATATATTTTTAAACTAATACATTATTTTTCATTTAACGTATAAAATTCATATGAACAAATTTTATAATTTTAACATTTGGACAAATAACAATTCGCCAAAGTTATATTCTTTATTTTTAATTATGAACGTATCAATTGATCTAATAACATGAATATAGAATATCATTAATGATGTTCAGGAAGTTAAGTTTCTCACGCTGATAACACGTTTGAAATATATAATTGTTGATATATTTCATGTCAGGATTTTAGCTTATTTCTACGTACAAGAATATGCAAACTGAATCGTTTTGAATACATACGATTATAGCTTGCAGCATATGAATGTAAATGCGTATATATGTGTACGTATAAACATTGTTTTTGTAATCAGCTGACCGCTACAGAGCGATGCTGTAAGACTATAAAAGGGTGTCGAAATATCATATAAAATGTATATATACAATTTGATATATTAACATTAATGTTAAACATGTGTATACATGTGCATGTAAAATATATAAACGTAAATGTAACACAATTAATAAATATTTCTACATTACTTTTAATTCTTCCGTAATTGGAATTTAGGTTATATACATGATCAAAAATATGCTACTTATTATATGGTTATTCTAATTTCTAAATACAAACTGCGTTTATTATATTTTACAAACAGTTTTCTTGGTAAATTGTGAAAATCTAGTATAATCACCTTACTTAAAATTCATTTACCAAATGTATTTTTTAGAGACTTGCCACCTTGCAAGAATGGGTGTTTATGGCCTTTGGCGTTTACTTGATAAAACAGGAAAGCAAGTACCTCTAGAAACACTAGAAGGAAAGATCTTAGCTATTGGTATATTTTAATATTTATATTTTATAATCATTATTACAAAATTTCTTTATAATTTAATCATGTTCACATAGCAACAAAATTTTGTAGATATATCAATTTGGATTCATCAAGTACTACAAGGATATCAGGACCGCTTTGGTAACCCTAAACCTAATGCTCATCTCATTGGTTTATTTCACAGAATTTGCAAACTTTTATATTATAAAATTAAACCAGTTTTTGTTTTTGATGGAGGTGTGCCAATGCTTAAGAAGAACACAATTGTAAGTTTATATATCTATTTTTTAAAAGTAAAGAATATGTATTTTACAATTAAAATATCAACTATGGATTTTCATATAGTATTTAAATGATTTCATTTAACTTTCTAATAGTCTAAGCTGTCGTATGTCTTGATATCAAGTACATTACATGCTTGTATTAATGAAACTGTACTTTTATCTTGATTATAATATTGTCTGTACATAATTAGTTTGCTGTGGGAACCAGGTAGTGAGAAAAGAGGTTCTTATTCTTTTGTGTTCACAGGCTTTACGGAGGAAACAGAAATCTATGGCCAAGAATAAAGCCCAACAGATGAGAACAGAATTAATAAATAATTTGATAAAGCATTCTACAGTGAAGACAGCTCTTAATACAGAAAAACAAAATACTACAAATGACTCTCCTGAAATAGTTATAAATTTACAAAGTAAACAGTCCACGGATGATATGTATAAATTACCAAATATGCCAAGCACCAGTAAAATGGAATCAAGTCAAAACGATGATTTTAATTCTGATTCATCTGATGAACCAAGTCCAAGAAAACAAACAAAATGGATTGGAAATATTCATAATGTGGATGTAACTAGTAATGAATTTAAAGCTTTACCAGCTGATGTGCGTTATGAAATTCTAACAGATCTTAAAGAAACAAGGAAACAAAGCTCATGGGGCCGTTTGCACGAAATGCCTGAAGTACATACTCATTTTGAGATACATATAATAGATATATATATAAGTATTTAGCTTTATTATTTATTTAAGAGATATTTTCATTTAGGAATCAAATGAATTTTCTGGTTTTCAAATGAAACGTTTATTAAAACGGAGATTTGTACAACAAAGTTTAGAACATGCAGAGAAAGAAATGGGAGGAAAAACTCTTACATTAGACGAGTTAGAAAAATTATTAAAAGAACAGGGAATACCTATGAATGTCCAAAATTATACTTATCGTATCGCTGCAGACAATACAACAAGATTAATATATATTAGTGGTACGTAAAAATCTTATATCATTCAAGAAAAAATTGAATCTTTCCTAATTATTTGCTTATCTTTACAAACTTTATATTGTAGATAAAAACGCATACCATAAAGACAATGATAATATCAGTTCAAATAGCGAGAGCATACAAAATAATGAAAATAGAATGGATGAAATCACTGTTGGATCTAGTAAAGCTGTACGAATTTGCGATGATATAAATGAATATGAACTTAATGATGATTGGGAAAGTGATGTTGAAATAACAGATATAAATAATTTTGAATTTACGGGAGTAAGTAGTGACACGGAATCGGAAGTAGAATCCAATGAATCTCAGTTTTTATCAAAAAAATATTTCAAACAAGACACTGCGAATCCTGCATTAACGTATATGTTGGAATATAGTGGATTAACAGAAAAACAAATCCTTAGTCTTCTTGAGAAAAATAACAGAGAAGCTAACAAAGGTGTCGAAAATGTGTCGAAAATACCACAAGTCGATTCACTTGAAGCAGAGCAGAGTGAAAATAAAAGTAATTCGTTAAATGTCGATCATTTAATTTCAGTATCTGAGAATAGTAAAGAAGAAACTAACAAAGGTGATGAAAATAAGTCGAAAATATCACAAGTCGAGTCACTTGGAGCAGAGCAGACTGAAAATAAAAGTAATTCGTTAAACGTAGAGCATTTAATTTCAGCATCTGAGAATAATACAAAGGATACAGAACATGATAGTACAAACGTTAAATCAATCGATGCGTCAAGATCGAAATTATCAGAATCAAATGCTAATACAAACATACCTTCTATTAAAGCAGCAAATATTTCAAATAAGACACAAGTTGGATTGAAAAATACAATAACAGTTAGTTCGGACTCGGACACAGATGACTTTTTAGAAATAGAAGATGTACCGATACCAAACATAGCTACCGCTACCAATAAATATGTTCCACAAAATATTCAAATAACTTTTAAATCCGACGAAAAAGTGGAGGATGATATGTTTGCCGATGTATTTGAAAGGCACGATAATGAATTAAATGCAGATTCTGTACCATCATCGAAAATATTTTATGATCAAGAAATGTCAAAAAACAAACAAACTTCCAAAGAAACAGTAGCAGATTCAATAAAAGACCAAGTCGATAAGAAATTATTCAATTTAAGAGAAACTAATGATATCAATGTACCATCTATCGATGTCGATTCGGATACTTTAAATACGAATGTACCATTAAAAGAAAGTCAAATGAGAAACGAAATTAACATTGAAAATATAACTCTTTCTCTCAAAGATACTACAGAAGCTGCAAATATTAAAGATAATACAAGTAACGGAGTGACCAATCGTACGAAAAGAATAAGTCCTATACCTATGAACGAAGACGAATTACTATCGTTACAAGTAGGTACTTGAAAGTAGATGTTAGTAGACGGATGATTGAAATATTCTTGGAATATTTTGCATATTATAGTATAATTATAGGCAGAATTAGAGGAGAAGCAAACGGCATTAATGGCAAATATTGGTAAATTAGAAAGACAAGGTATCGATATTTCTGACCAAATACGAATCGAAGCTCAGGTATCACGATGCAAATTTAATAAATTATCAATTGTTATCTCTTCATTGCAACATTAACAATATTATTCGTTTATAGGAATTGTTACGATTATTTGGAATACCATATGTTGTAGCACCTATGGAAGCAGAAGCGCAATGCGCATACTTAGAACAAATTCATCTTGTTGACGGTACGATTACAGATGATTCAGATATTTGGCTGTTTGGCGGACAATGCGTCTATAAAAATTTTTTCGACAACAACAAAAAGGTTCTTGAATTTCGTTCCTGTGATATACAATATTATTTTAGTAAGCCTATTGCATTTTTAATAAAAGAGAAACGTAACCGTGTACACATATAAATATTATAAAATAATATTTATCCGTTTCAGAATTAACGAGGAACGAAATGATACGACTTGCCCTCTTGGTCGGTAGCGATTATACAACAGGTTTACCTGGCATTGGTCCTGTTACTGCCTTAGAAATATTAGCGGCATTCCCTTCAGAAAACGAAAATTTATTGCAAGGTTTAACGAATTTTTGTTCTTGGATTGAAAATGGTAAAACCGCTGGTCCTGGAAAAACAAGTCTGCGAAACAAGTTACAAAACTTAAAAATTCAAAAAGGTATATATGCGATTTCTCCTATCGTTATATATATACAGTTTATAAGATATATTATTTCACGTACAGGCTTCCCGAGTCAAGCTGTTGTTCAAGCATATCTTTCGCCTAAAGTGGATGAATCAAAAGAGACTTTTACTTGGGGTAAACCTAATATTATACTTCTAGCTGATTATGCAAAACGGAAATTTGGTTGGGACAAAAATAAATATGATAAAATTATAGCACCAGTATTGAAAAGATTAGAAGAAAAGCAAATTCAAAATAAAATAAGTGCGTATTTTAAATTACAAACCGTTCCGAAATCAATTGAAATGAATTTAAGTAAACGAGTTCAGAAGGCTGTGCAAAGATTAAACAATGAAAATGAGGAAGATAGTACAAATGTAGAAAATATACAACAATCAATTAAAAAAAAGAAATCTTCGGATGGAAGCCAAAAGAAAAGAACAGAATTGAAAAATGATGGATCTGTAATTGATTGTACTAAATCTAAAGTTTTTATTCATAACGAGAAAAATGTCGATGAATATATACCACAAAGAGAAAATGATAAAGCAAACGCCTTGAAAAATAAATTGCATGCAATCGAAGTACTTCGAAAATCGAAACAAGGGTTATGTAAAACGAAAAAAATAAAGCGTTATGTAAGAAAAGTGAAGAAAGAAGCCGAACTTTCAGAAAGTGATAGTGATAGCTCGTAATATTATTTAATGTAATTTAAAACAAATTAATGAAATAATTAAATTGATGTAAATAAATGAAATTTAGAGTATTATTTCTATGAAAAATTAAGTGAATTTATACATTTATACATTTTCTTAAATAAATTATTATTTTACACGTTATATTCTTTCGTCTAAAGTATCTATATAAAAATTATTTACTTTTCGTATAAAGTACCTATATAAAAATTAACTTTACTATTAGTATCTGTAATAAAATTAATCCTATTTTTTATATAACATATATTTTTTATATAACATATATTTGATATGTCTGTGTCTCTTGAGAATCTTAGAAAGACCAATTAAAAATTGTTTTTGTTATATGTATTTAGCGTTATATCTATATTACTATATTACTATCTATATTATTGATACTTTTAAGGATATTATATAAGTAAGCGATAGTTGGAAAAAATATTTTTTTATAATCATATCTAAGTTTTTCCCCTATTTCTACACTATTTGTGCACGCGCGTCATATAATCATATGACATATTTTATGATATATTTCAATGATGTATTTCAATCAATCACTTAAAAACCAGCAGTTCTTCCTTCTCTACGAAAATCAGAAGTAGCAAGTATTTTACCGTTTTGTTTAGAAATAGCTGTAATTGCACTACCAATTCCCGAGTAAGTTGTAATGTTGTGTCCGATGCTGCTTAAATAATGCAATATATCTGGAGGAAATCCTTTCTCATTTTGAATAATCATTGGTAATAGCTGTAGTTTCAAACACATATTATTAGTAATTGAGAATATAAACTATTGAACGACGTATCGACATTTAACTATACCTGATGGTGAATTCTAACTGTATCAATAGCTTGAGTTACGTTATATCCCGACCAAAGATTTAATATCATTGCTAATGCAACTGCAGTAGTGATTTTAGTACCACCTGCAGCACCAATTACTAAACGAACATCTCCATTTTTATCTACCTTTATTAACAAAAAAGAAAAATATTTCCATTGTAAACTATTATATATATATATATAATTTAATAACACATATCATTCCTTAACTTATAAAGTATACTTACAACAATAGTTGGACTCATAGAACTCATAGGTCTTTTTCCAGGCCGAATAAAATTCGCTGGTGAAGGTGGTACATCGAATCCATTAGTTATATTTGGAGAACTAAAATCATCCATTTCATCGTTGAAAATTATCCCAGTCAATTTTGAACGTATCATCGCACCAAAGCTATTAAATTGATAACAGAATTAAAAGATATTTCTTTTATACACTGTTCGTCAATACATGATTTTGAAAATTGTATTTGAAGATAAAAATCTTACAGGATTAACATACACTTGATTTATTGTAGATGTGACTGATACGGCCGATCCATCTGGAGCCAAGACAGAAACATGAGATGTCCCTGAATCCTCCGGTATAGTCATATTAACGCCATAATATTTCGGATCGTTGTTTGTTTCATTAGTTTTAATTTTACTTCGAATCATCTTGGCATAGTCAATGGACGTTAAATTATTAAGCAAGGAAGCTGAAAAGATTTTATCGTTTGTCATAATTAAACACGACAAGAAAAATGTTTCTTTTAACAAATAAGACCTCGGATAAAATTAAAAGATCATTGGCTACGCTTACTTTAACAAATAAAATGTCATAGATTAATGATAAATAATCATACAATTAATAATAAATATTACGATATAAAACTCTTAAATCAATCTCTATTTACGCTTATCGCATACTCGTACTCTTATCTAAGGCATCTTAAAACGAAGTACAAATACATAAAATATCTCTTATTGCGCATTGTCATGACCGATTATACGATATAATATAAATTGCTAACTCACTGATATTAACAAAATCCGGATCAGCCAATTCGGTTCTTCTGGCGTAAGCCCATTTAAAAGTCTCGATCACAGTTTGCCACATGATTTCATTGCCAGGATCAAGAGCCATGTCGCCGAGAATGTTCATAATAAAAGTTAAGATTGCTCCCGAACCCGGTGGCGGTGCAGTATAAATCGTTAAATTCCCAATCGTTGTTTCGATCGGTTTCGTCCATTTTACTCTGTAACAAATATATCATTTGCACGTTCCTTGCCAGTTCTCTATTGAACGCACATATCAAAGATTCAAACGAACGTGTAATTTTGAAAATCCTCCTTTTTGATGATACCCTTGAAAGAGCTGATTTCTTCGACTAAAATATCAGCTATGCTTCCATTGTAAAATATGCCAGGTCCATGTTGTGCAATTAACTGTAACGTTTCTGCCAAACGCGGCCTCTTTATTCTGTCGCCTACCTAAAAGAAACATTTTAATTGAAGAGGACGTGTGATAAATGAGAACATATTTACCTTCCAGGTTGAATTGGTCTTGGGATTTATGAGGATTTCCGCCAATGATTTTTCCGCTTTTATTGATGATTCGTAATTGGCCAGATATGAGGCCAAGTATTTATTTACACGAGATCCAGTGTCGCATAAGGCAATAGTAGGCTCAAATAATGTAGACCAATTCAATTTCCCGTATTTTTGATGGGCTTCCCAATATCCAAGAAGTTCGCCTGGTACAGCAACTGCTAAGCCGCCTTTTTGAATCGTAATCGATTAAATTAATGTACCTACACTGTATTTGTAAATGTATATACAATAATATTAATAACAAGAATAATAAAAGGATCTGACAGCTCACCAAACATCGCTAAATTAGGATCGCTTTGAAACATGTCCTTGTGCGCGCCAGATGGAGCAACTTCCCGTGCATTCAAATAATCGGCGGTTTTGGTAGTCGCATCCCAAATGGTCATTAAAAACCCACCGCCCAGCCCCATGCTTCGTTTCAAGAAAGAATGCAACGTAAAATAATATGCAACACAATAGTACAGAGAGTGAGGACAAGACATCTATACGTGTATTTGTCTAAATATAATTCACCTGTGTAAAGACGCAACTCCCTCGCACAGAAGCGAAGCTATAGCCGCATCGACAGCCGAACCACCTTTGCTCAATATATCGGCACCTATCTGAGCACATTCTTGTCCGTTCGTGGATACTGCACCCTAGCAAACAGAATACATTTCGAATTATTTCGTGTTCGACAGTAAATCCAGTTATCGGCATTCCTTTCTCTGAGCGAAAGTAAACAGGGAGATATATTCCCAGAAGCAATCAAGTTGGACAAATCAACGCGCGAGCGTACCTTCTTACATCATACTTTACCTTTGTATACACTCCGTAGTACGACCTCCTACTTTCCGATTTCACATTTTCTGAATCAGGAACGAGCAAAATGATTATCGTTAGAATCACAGCTAGAATTATAACGATGCTCACCCCAAATACTAGAACCTTCTTTTTGTTTAGTCTGCATGAAAAGGAATTGCCGTGTTAATCTTCGAAAATAATTTGAAGTGAAAATATTTCGATAATAACATTTTTTGATGATTCTAATGATCTTGTACCCGAACCTCGATAGAAACTGATCGCGTTTGTTTTTTTTTTTTTTTCTTTAACGAGCGAAAGGAAGATGCACGATACTTCGATTTCTTCGATTCAATAAATAAAGCGAAATTGAACCGTTTACGAGCCAAAGTGATTAACTTTTAATTTAATCAAGTTCTTTAATTTCCTTTTGGTTTTAATGTCAAAGCACTTGTTTTATACGTAACATTTTATACGTAAAATAAGTTTCCTCAGTAATTAGACTTAATGCCGCTAATGTATTTAACGTGACGTATTTCAAGGATATACTATCTTATGCATTAGAAGATTAAAAGTCATTTGTTCGTATATTCTATAATATTTAAGTTTAAATTTTAAAAGGAATTTGAAGAGAAACTTTTTTGTTAATTTTTTTACTCTTCTTTGGAGTTGATCAATTTGACGAATGAATAATTAATATAACTAACGTAATATATACTTCTATATCTATATCTATATACTTACATATTTAACTGCACATATTTCATACTCATTTCTAAGAATAATATTGACAATGAAACTCGTAATTTCTTAATTTTAAGTTCTTCTAATATTAACAATAAAATTCATGAGTTCTTAATTTGAAGTTTTTCTTTCTTACCTCGATCTTACCTACTAACAGACTATTAATTATTTCGTGTTATGCGCTCTATAATAATAAAAATATCAAACGTTAGAAAATTTATTTTTAAAACTTATAGCATCAAAGATTAGCGCAATTTAACTTTATCTAATCTAACTTTAACTTTATCTATTCAAATTATTGAATGCGCTATCAATGAGCACGTTCAAACAATGTGAAAGGATACTACGATACAATCATACAGGTACCACTATAGATCATTGAAGTGATGGCAATGATGATATACACAAGGTATGGTACATACACGTCAGCTTATTTATGTCTTATTATGCATATTTGTTTTTTCACAGTCATGGTGTATAATATAGTGCATAATGCTTAATTTAACACGTTTAATTAGAGATTTGTACAATTGCACTTGTTTGTGTGCAATATGTATATTACTCTGTAAAGATTTTAATAAAAACAACGTTAAAAAATGTAAAATTATCACTCCAAGTAAAACACTTAAGTAAAATATTAACATAATATATAGCTCCCATATGAAATGCAGACATTCGATACTTAAACCTTTTGTTTAATATATCATCTCTGAGATTCATCACACACATTACGACTTAACTCTGATACAAAGCAAAAGACGCGTAAAGAACACCACTGTGCAATCATTTAAAATAAACATTTGAATTGAGTAACACATTTAGAATGATTTTTAAATTCATCAAAACTCTATTAAATTACACCATCATCAGCATTCATCGCACGTAACACATCGTGATCGAGAACAACGTTGAAGTTTCGTCACTGATTTACACATAAAAGTCAATGAAAATTGGGGTGAAAGTGACCTGATCGAGGAGAAATCGTCAGTTGGGGATGATACGGGAATTGTGCGAAACAAAAAAATTTTTACCAACCCGATCATGTTGCGTGAATAAACACGATATAAGAGATCTCTCAACCTTGACTAAACGTTTCACCAGGCCGATCGACGCCTTTTATACTAGCTACAATACAGATTCTATTTATTCATCCCCACTACTGCTATACATTCACAGTATCAAATGCTTCTAATTTCTTCATTTATTTTCAAAATAATATCATATCGTTTTACCTATCAATTTTATAAAAGCCGCCAGTTTTCTTGTATCTCCTATTCATAATGCGCCCTCCTCTACCAAAAAAAAAAAAAAAAAAAGAAAATGATAAAAAACGGACGTTCCACTAACGTTATAAATCTTTGTTAAATCCTCACTTCGTTACCTGTAAACACGCTCGTGCTACTTCTGTGATAAATTTCATTTATTTAACGTGTTTTCGATATCTTTTTTATTTATTTTCCAATTATCGTTTTCTGAGAATGCGATTCGTTACATCAGTAGATACTTACGCACATTTTTCTTCTAATTTCATAGATTTCGAAACAATCTAGAAGTAATATCTTGACATTTTTAAAATGTGACAATTTTTATAAATCGCTCGTTTTTCCCAGTGGAGGAAATAATATCGTAATTTTATGTGATAAGTCAGCAACTTTTATATTAACGGCATCGTTCTCCCTCTTTCTTCCTCTCTCATTTTCTGAAAAAAAATAATTTTTTTATTTTTTGTCAAATCGAACAGTAACAATTACGTATTATGTTACATTGCGGAAATGCTACTTCGCTATAGAAAGAAACATATATTACCCTCTATCGGTAAGAAATGGAATCAAGCCTCTGAATGAGTAGCGATCATTTCGAAAAACGGCGAAGTCATTTCGTGAGCAAAAGTGAGATATACGCTTAGCAAATTCGAAAAAGATGACAGCAAGGTACGATAGAGCTATTACGGTGTTTTCACCAGATGGGCATTTACTACAAGTGGAATATGCACAAGAAGCTGTGAGGAAAGGTTCTTCTGCGGTAAAATGATGCATTTTATTTAACCTCTTAAAGAAACAACTTTCTGTATTATCACTCTTTATGTAAAACTTTGTATAATAACATTGAAAAATGTTTAAATATATATATTGTTGTAGTGATGTTTACGTTTTCTAATTTTTTTGAGCGAAGAGCATTCTAACAAATTGGTTCGTTTTAGGTTGGAGTTCGTGGTAACGATGTAGTCGTTTTAGGCGTTGAGAAAAAATCCATTGCAAAGCTTCAAGAAGAACGAACAGTTCGTAAAATATGTCTCTTAGATGAACATGTTGTAATGGCATTTGCAGGTTTGCTTATACGTAACTCTTTCAAACGTGATATAATTTACAAAAATGTTATAATCTAATGCATCTTGTCTTCTTTTCTAAGGTTTGACAGCAGATGCAAGGGTATTAATTAATCGAGCACAAGTTGAATGTCAAAGTCACAGATTAACTGTGGAAGATCCAGTTACATTAGAATACATAACTAGGTACATTGCGGGTAAGTAAACATATCTTGTTTATTCTTCAAATATGCATACTTACAACATAAATGTGACGACTGCTTTTTTAGGTTTGAAACAGAAATATACGCAGAGTAATGGTAGAAGACCCTTTGGAATATCATGCCTTTTAGCTGGATTCGATTATGATGGCATTCCCCATTTATATCAAACAGAACCTTCAGGCATTTATTATGAATGGAAGGTATATATTTTGCTTTGAAACATTTTGTTAATTGCAAAATAAGGAAAGAAAGTGTATTGTTTTCCTTTTAAAGGCAAACGCAACAGGTCGAAATGCTAAAACAGTTCATGAATTTTTACAAAAATACTACACACCGGAAGAAGTAGCAACTGAGAAAGGAACAATAAAATTGGCTATTAGAGCTTTGTTAGAAGTTGTACAGTCAGGGAGAAAAAATTTAGAAATCGCAGTAATGCGACGCGGTCAACCTCTACAGGTATATAAACTTCAAAATATTTATACGTTCTATTGTTTCTTCAAAGATTCATTTTCGCATATTCTTTATGCTACAGATGCTAGATTTAGATACCATTGGGGAATACGTTACTGAGATTGAGAAAGAAAAAGAAGCTGAAGCTGAAAAGAAAAAGCAGAAAAAGTGATATCTTTATATGAAGTCACATTTATTATTCATTTATTGGTATTTTGCATAAAATAAATATATAAATAAAAAAAACAAAATTTTAACATTCATTTTATTTGTACTTTACTGTTACGCGAGCACTATATGTAAATTCACACGGTTTTTAAATATATAACTTAAAATTCATACCATATTATTGTAGAGAATTATGTCTTTTTGTATTTATTATACACATATGATAAACTTAAGATCAAGTAATAAATAATGCTTAAATTATATTATACAATTTTATACATTAATCCAGAGTGTATTATTTGGTAAACAATTACATTAATATTATGTTCCTCTTAAAAATGGATAATAAAATGAAATTCACTATGTGTACTAGGACGCTAAAGATTTTCCACGATGACTGAATATTTGGAATGATGGGAGATTTCTTAATGTTTCCCAAGATTTATTTTCCAGATCAACCACTGCTCGAATTTCTTTAAAATCACCGGCAATATACATTACTCCATACATAACTATAAATAAACTGATAATACCCTGTATTAAAATCTGTAAGAAAAACATAACCAATTTTTCCACGTTTTGTAAATATTTTGTATGCCATTCTTTGTAAATATAATTTTATACGTACATCAATTGGTAAGGCAATGAATTCTTGTTCTGTTATTCGTAAATATGAACGATCTGTAAATTGTATTTTACAAAAATAGTTTAAAATTCAAATAAGTTAACCTAAGAAATATTAAGAAAGGATTATTCACTCGAGAAATTTTAATCACAAATGTGGTACGTACGCTGGGCAGCTGAATAAGCTGTATGTAATATCGACATTAGTCCTATGAACGTTATAAACTTATGTAAAGCGGTTGCAGGCATTTTAACGTTATAACAAATTTCTGTCAATAACTTATTGCTTACGACAATAATACATACTCATGTTATCGTAACTATACCACTCAAGGCTTGTTTTCACGTATGAAACTTAGTAATACTATATACGTATATATATCTATAAGTTACTTTATACCGCATTTCTAATTATTCCACTTTCCCGATCTATTTAAATACAAGTAATCTACTTGATCCTTAATATATATTGTAAATACAGATTGATCGTTTATTAATTTCTACCGCATAATGTAGATTTCTACAAAAAGTAATATTGCCACTAAAAGAGTAGGCGCCTGATGAAGTGATCAAGGTAGTATACGCAAAAGTTGATCGCTCTCTTTCTCTACCCATGCACACATTAAAAATGTTTGTTTATAGTTGATAATTGTTCCAATAATATTAAAGATCATGGATTATGAATTTAAACTAAAAACTGATACAGATCGAACAAAAGTAGAAGACCTTTTTGAATTTGAAGGATGTAAAGTTGGGAGAGGAACTTATGGACATGTCTATAAAGCACGCAGAAAAGAAGGGTTAGTGTTTCTAACCTAACATAGAAGATTGTCTAGCATTTACCTTAGTTATTTATTAAGTAATCTTTGTTCTTTCATAAATTGTATAAGTCTGCAGAAAATATTTTTTTGTCATTCAAAGATTGTAGTTTTTACTTTAATGTTTAAATAAAACTAATACCTATACATATATTGTATGGTTTTTAGAATTTTCTACATCTAATATATCCAATGATTTATTTTAATCATTTTAAATATTAAGCGTATTACATAAAATACATGTACAAGATGCAAATTTTTTTCATTTTATCCTTCTCACTTTTTGCGATTATAACGTGTTATACTTGACGTTTACATAGAGTACCAGATAGCGAATTAAAATCTAGGCCAGACACAAAGGATTTTGGCCTAAAACAAATTGAAGGTACAGGCCTTTCAATGTCTGCATGTCGAGAAATTGCAGTAAGTATCAGTTTTGTTTTTTTTTTTTGTAAATATGTATTATATATAAAAATATAAATATCCTTTCTGCACTAAGAAACTTTTCATTTTTCCTACAGTTACTTAGGGAACTAAAACATGTAAATGTGATTACACTAATTAGAGTTTTTCTATCACACATTGATCGCAAAGTATGGTTATTATTTGACTTTGCTGAACATGATTTATGGGTATGTTTATATTTATTAAAAATAGTAAAAATAATATAATTACTTTATTAAACAAAACTTTATATGTTTTTATTTCAATCCATAGCATATAATAAAGTTTCATAGAGCAGCAAAAGCTAATAAAAAACCTGTCATGGTACCAAAGGGTATGGTAAAATCTTTATTATATCAAATTCTAGATGGTATTCATTATTTACATTCCAATTGGGTGCTTCATAGAGATTTGGTAATTTATAACTATATACACAAATATTATGTATGTGCATCTAATATTTGATGTATGATTAATTTAATGTACTATAATTTAGAAACCAGCAAATATCTTAGTAATGGGAGAAGGAAATGAAAGGGGGCGTGTAAAAATTGCAGACATGGGTTTTGCTAGATTATTCAATGCTCCATTAAAGCCTCTTGCAGATTTAGATCCAGTTGTAGTGACATTTTGGTATAGAGCACCAGAATTACTGTTAGGTGCTAGACATTATACAAAAGCTATAGGTATTTTGTATATATTTAAAAATTAGGATTATTTTAAACATTTTTCGCTTTCAAGTATTTTCTTTTTGTTATTTCAGATATCTGGGCAATTGGTTGTATATTTGCAGAGCTTTTAACTTCTGAACCTATATTTCATTGTAGACAAGAAGATATTAAAACTAGCAATCCATATCATCATGATCAATTAGATAGGTAAAAATTTTATCTATTATTATCTTCAGTAGTATTAAAGAGAAACAAAATGAAATAAGAATTTTTTTAGGATATTCAATGTGATGGGATTTCCTTTGGAAAAAGATTGGGAAGATATTAAGAAAATGCCAGAACACCCTACGCTATTAAAAGACTTTAAAAGATCAAAGTTAGTATCTTCTAAAAAATGAAACCAAATATAAGAATTTGTAGTTTTAATATAAATATAAATTATTTTATAGCTATGCAAATTGTTCTCTTACGAAATATATGGATCGGCATAAAATTAAACCTGATAGCAAAGCATTTAATTTGGTATGGCGAAGTAAAATATTTCGATCTTTTTTTAACAATTTTTTTTCGAATAATGATATTAATTTAATTACTCTAGCTTCAAAAACTGTTAATGATGGATCCAAATAAACGAATAACTTCCGAACATTCTATGCAAGATGCTTACTTTCAAGAGGAACCATTACCCACTCAAGAGTATGGTTTTAACAATTTACATGACGAATTATTGATAAATGAAAAACTAATCTAATTAAATAATGTTGTAGCATATTTGCCGGTTGTCCCATTCCATATCCCAAACGAGAATTCTTAACAGATGATGATACAGAGGAAAAAACTGAAAACAAAGCACGGCAAAATCAACAACAAACTGTGAGTTTGTAGTGATTTTTTAATGTTTGTAGTCATTCGTATAATTAATTTCCCTTTCTATAAATTTTTGTAAAATTTTAGCAACAAAATCAACAACAACAAGGAAACGGCGATCACAATCATGGACAAAATGCAAAACGGGTGAGACTGAATGGTCCTCATGGGGCTCCAGAATTTCATCAACATCAAAGTCACGCGATGACCCATCAACAGCCTCCTGGAATGGTTTATTCTACGGCGCAACCAACGCAACCATCAAATTTTCATCAACGCTTTTAAACGATATCGTATTAACGATTAAATTCATCAACAGAGTAATTATCAGTTTACTGGCTTGATTAACTATTGTATCAGTGAACAAATCAGCGATTCCTGTATATTTACAGTATGATAATATAACTTTATTTATATATTGTACACATGTATATGTTTTACGAAGTACTTTTTAGACTTTTATGTGCATTTCATATACCAGGAATATCGTACTCGCGACACGTTAGTAGCATTAACGAAACCGATATATCGATTGCTTAGTTTTAACATCAACAAGTAAATTTTCATAAGATATCTTTGAAAACCATGCAACTCTTAAATATCCTTGTATTTACCTTGCGTTTAACTACAGTTAGGCATAACGGATTTACGATTAGCTGCTAATTAAACAATAATTGCCAAGATAAGGAAAAATATAAATAATTAGTTAGAATTAAATTGAAGAATGTGAAGTTTGACGAAAGAGGATGGACGGAACGAGAGAAGAATGCAAATTGAAAAGTACGCGTGGTATCTTCAATCGGAGAATGACGAAGACGAGTAAGTTGGATCGAGCGAAGGGAAAGTACGCATGCGCGGTAAATCGTTTCGCAGCAAGGTGGCGGTCAGTCGCGCGCTCCTGAAACGCAGTTTCCGCGAATCGGTGCTTGACGAAAAAAGTGTGCGTGAACCGCGTGTTACTGCGATCGAGATGCCGATCAAACTACGGACCATTCATTCGCCAGTCAACTCGTTGTTTAAATGAAAATAAAAGGTGAGAGAAATGTTTCATGTATCGTACAATATTACGCGACTCTCCTTCCCTACCGTTCCTTTCATTAGTCTAGAAGACGAGCACCTGTCAAATGCGATCGTATTATTTTTTTTCTTTCAACAGAGAAACCATCCTCCTCACCGAAGTTTGCCTATTTAATTAATACTGATTCAAGATATTGACATTCTACTCTTTTCGGTTCGTAAGTTCTTCATTGTCTTTATAAATTCAACAGAGAGCACGCGTTATTTCTAATTTCAAGTTATTTTACTTTCGTATTGCACAATGTTAAAAGTTTCCTTGAAAGAATTTTCAATCGTGTATAATATTTTATATAAATGACTCGGTATTGTTTGCCAATTTCTTGCACTGATCTTTTATATCGTAAATTAATATTGGATAATGTTCTTTTTACTGCAATATGCAATGTAAATGATAAACGTGACACATAAATATTTATACATAGCCACTATTTTACATACATATACTTTATATAGCTACCAATGTTGCGTAATTGAAAGCCATAAAGTAGACATTTTCTTTCTGGCAATAGAGAGGCGTTATTTTAAAAAAGAAACGTTGGGACAGTCGAGAGTTCAAATTTCAAAAATGTCGAGAAGTGTCATAGATAGAGAAGTAAAAGTAGAGTGGGGGGTGGAAGGGGGGGAAGGAGCGATCCTGACCACTATAATCCAACAACCAGTCAAGGGCCATGACCACGTTGCGACAAGGTAACCGCAATTAACTCGTATCGATGTATTAACCGAACGTTTCCGAATCGTTTGCAACAACTATAGGAAATATGTTAAACGATATACGATATACATATGCATGTACGTATGTTAATGCGAACTGGATATATTGGTCGCAAAATGCGATTTATCGTTGATAAATATGCGCGTGTGGATTTATGCTCTCTATGCTTTCTGTCGATCACCGCGACAAAAAGCAAACGAAAGATCGACATTTTGTTTCTTGCAAGGACGTTCAGAGTATTCTATTCCGACTTTCACAGAAGACGAACGTGACGAAACTGGCAAACTTCGTATCCTCGTACAGAGGATTTTAAAGCAAAAGATACTTGTTCGAAACCTTGTCTCAAAATCGAACGTCGAGTCCAAGTGTCAGTAAGTAACAAAATAAAATTAAACAAGGGAATACAACGATAACATTCGAGTAAAAATATATACATAAGGACGACTTAGGTTTGTTAGATATTGATCAACGATAATTTCATTGATCGTGTCGCAGAGATCATTACGGGACAAAATTGAATCGGGAAGACTTAGGCCTGTATCCCTACCCAAGCAAATCTCTATACATGGAGATTTCGAGATGGTCTCTGTCGATACACGCTTTCTCTAAAAAAAATCAAACGATCAAGGAATGATTCAGAAATGTCAAGGTAAATCGCACACGTGCCCACCAGATTCCGTTATCAATGCCGAACGACGATTTAGAAACATCGTTTCCGCCTGTGATTGTAAAGATGAATCTATTTTACGGAAACGTGGAAACACACATTCACGCGGGCCGCGATCCTCTGTGAATTTGAATCGCAAACATGACGTTGCCCGCGGCTCGCGTTGAATCCTCTTTTCGGTGACGAACGTCCAAGGAACGACATTCGGCGACGGCCGAAACTTCTTTTGTCGGTAGTGAAAGACGTGGGAAGAGAGGAGAGCAGATTGTCGGAGAACACGTACTTGACGTTTGCGCTCTGACGCGAAACAGAACAAGAACGAGAGACAGAGAGGAGAGGCGAGGTCAACAAGGTACCCGATATGGTATCCCACGTCCGTCGAGAGTGCTATTTCATGTATATGTATGCCTAAATATACGCGATACACACATAAATTCGTGCACGCGTTCGTAGGATCGTCTCCTGCTCGCCTCCGAGTATTAGCGATCGTCGCAACTGAATTACTAAATGCCACTTTTTTACACGCGGCTTTGCACCGTTGCTTTTTCACATTGTTTCGTCCCGTTTCGATCAGATATTTCGTCAATATCTTCGTTAATATCCGCACGCGTACGTGGCCGCGATTAAATAACACGGAACGTTCGATGGGTTCGATTTCCGCGATAGATTCTTGGGAAGGAGCAACGCGTTATCTATCATAGAGGAATCATATCTCAACACCCGAATCACATCTCTCTTTTTATTCCTTTCTCTCTCTCTCTCTCTCTCTCCTTGTGTCAATGCATCGGATCGCACGGCCTTCCTAAGATGGCCAGTGCCACCGTAAATGCAGACACGCGAGTGCGAACTTCGAGGTCGTCGGTAGGAACGATTGCAGGAAGCACCGATGACTTAGTACGGCTGCAGCAAGGCGTACCAGCATGAATCATTTCTACCAGTTACTCTACTGCTCTCGCTATACATTCGTATATATAACGTGCTGGTGAATTTCTCTTGCTTAGGGCTCGGCACATTCGTTGATCGCTCCGATCGAAAATTCGTTTTTTCCATCGGTGTTCGACGGCAATGTCGAACGCGATGCGTTACAATTAGGACAATTAGTTTCTTCCGTTACGATCGAACGGAAGCTCAGCGTATCGGAGGAGAGTATGCTCGTTATCCAACTACTCGGGTCGCAGTACTTATTTACATACGCGCTCCTTAATCGCGGCCCTTAATAATATTCAAGAATCTATTTTTAAACGTGACTAGAGGTATGCGCATGCATGGCGGTGACGTAATCCTGTCTTTCCCCTATATTTCCCTCTCCCCAGTTCTTCCTCTGTCGTCCTTTCGCTCTTACTCTTTCGCCCGGCTCTTCACCCCCTCTTCTTCACCGCGTTGCTTTTCTCTTTCTCTCGTCCCTTCCTCTGGTACAATTGTTTCTCTTTCCTTCCACGTGTCCTCCAATCTGTACGTGCAAGCACTTGTAGCATACTTGTGTATTCATCGACATATTAACTCCACACGTCTTACGAAGTGGGAGATCTTTCACATTTTTCGAACGGCCGGGACCTCCCTTCGTTTGCTTCGATCTCGTTGTTCCTATTTTTTCAAATCGTGCAACGTACGGAGATCGTCGACGAAATTGTCGTCGACGATGACCAGGATCCAAGAAAAGAACCGCCCCGATATTCTTTAAACGTTGAGGATGAAGTTCCCGACACATGTCACGTAACAGACACGTTACTTTCTTCTTCTTTTTATTTGAGTCCAATAACTGGATTGGATTATACCTGTCACCTTGTACAAGCGTACAGTACATATAAGACACGCGTGAAAAAGAGTGTGACACGTTGGCTCTCGATCTAGACCTTGTTCTAATTTGACTTTTGTTTGATTTCGTTAGCAGAAATTGTAACGTTTCCGTTGAGTCACAGAATCGCGGAATGTTTTCCTAAGGATGATCGGCAATATTTAAATTCAAGCTTTATTGTTATCTCAGATTTGTAAGCCCGCATGTACATGTGTGTTAAGCGTAAGATTCGTAGTGAATTATTTATAAATTGCGGCAAAAAAAGAAAAGTTGCGAAACGTATTTTCATACGCTGTTTTAATTTTAATTTTTGATATAATTTATCTTATTAATGGGTCGAAACAACATTTATTTTTAGACACAGTACAAATGAAGCGCATGCATGTATGTGAGTATGTATATATATTACGTATAATTTTATATTATTGAATTATATATATATATAAATTTCAATTAAAATTATTATATATATTATATGTTATATATCAATTAATATATTATATATAATAAATTTCATATAAAATTCAATATATGTAAAATTCAAATTATGATGTAATAAAATGGCGGAAACGGGTTAAAACTTAATCGTTTCTTTCAGATTCGGAGCAAAGCATCTCCCAAATGCAGCCAATATGGATTCCCACGTTGGTCTCGACTATATCGTGGACAATCCCGATTACTGCGTCAAGCTCGCCACGGGTAAAATTATTCAACGTTCTCGATAGCTCGAATGTCGGATAACCAGCTCCGATTGCATCCTATTAATCGCGTATCTCGTTGAATTTCAGCCTTGGACACCGCGTGTCCCTCGGTCAAGAAGCAAGTGGTAGAATTGCTTTCGGCACTGTCTGTTTACAGCCAGGATGGAAGACAGAGAGCGATCGATACTCTTCACGAGTATCAGGTGATCGAACTTGAACAACAAATTCAAATGAGGATCGTTCTCATGTTCAAAATCGTCCGTCTGTTCGTTCCTTCGTTCGTTCGTTCGTTCGTAGAAAGTAACGATGTATTACCTCGATTTTTTTTTTTTTTACCGTGGAGGTATTAGAATACAAGGTTCTTGTATCCGTTTTGACACAGACGCGAAGAACAAACGCAAACGCGCGTGCCAAGTTGCGTAAAAATCACAGTTCAAGGTCCTCCTCCGGCGAACAAAAGGAGAATAGACATATATAATGTATCATCATTGCTTCGGAGCTTCGTTCGCCATTACACCATTACGCTGCGCTGTGCTATTACATGCAAGATTTCTTTGTAAAAATATTCGACACGTTCTCTTACGCTTGCCAGCCAACATTCGATCTTTTCGATTTTTTTCTCAAGAAACGAAGTGAACGCGCGAACGGACATCCGCTGAATATACGAGCGCGACAACGTATATTCAGAGACCAAAAACGTCTCTTTCACATTTTACATCTTTTATATTTACATATTACTCTCTGCGTTTCGACGACGGTGAAAATAACTATCAACGACACGTTCTAGAAAAGGAAGAACGAACGATACCGGTTACGAATCGTGGTGGAGGAGTTGCAGAACGCGGCTACCGAGGATTATCGGACCGCGCTATTGGCATTCATAAACTGTTTGGTCATTTCCACCCCGGTGCTAAAGGATCGGATAAGGCTTCGTAACGAGTTCATTGGTTAGTAAGCGGATATGGAAATTCGCCAGAGCATGTTCGCATAGCAGACCGTCGCCTCGAAGCGATAGCCTAACTGTGCGTAATTCATTTTGGTTTTGCAGGCTTGAAGCTCCTACCGATTTTGAACGAGCTGCGGTGAGTACAGTACGACGACCTGGATTTACGATTATTAACTGATTAACACCTTAACGTATCGTTGAATAATAAATAATAATGAACGTTACGAAAGGGCGCTTTATTGTACCCACACCTTCTCATTTGCACTTGATGCAACGTTCGTGTCGCGCATGTATCGCGTCGTACACACGTAACGCCAGACAGAAATTATGTTGAACGGGCCTTACCATCGTCGATTGATCATGACTAACGAAGCCAGGCATACGACAATTGCATGCACTAATCACCCAGTCATCCAGTTTTTCATGTTTTCCCTCGTCTCTGGGCGGTTTTTGTCAATTCAACGACGCCGCGTTTGAAGCTCAAGCAGACGAAACGGGACGAACTACCACGAGAGGAACTACAACTATTTGCGTCGAATCGTGATACGCGAAGTTTTGTCCTTTCTGTTTAGTTCTCTACAGGAATAGTACAATCTGTCATTCCTTCGCGGGATGACGGACGAGCAAACTATTCTTGATCGAGCAAAACTAATTGCGTCGAAGCCGCTTTAAATATCGATCGAGCAAAGTCGGACGGAATTTACGGTAAAAGGAATCGTGACTGATATGTCAGATACGCATCGAACGTCAACGTTTTCGTTGTTCGAACGTGATCGCGCGTCAATCGACCGTCCCTCTCTTCCCTTCTTTCTTTTTTTCTTTTCTTTACATACTTCTTCGAATTCTTGCCAATCTTGCCGACCTGCGTCAGATAGATTTAGTGGTTTTGAAAATTTTACGCGTCGACGTAAACATTTAATATATATATATATATATACGGCAGAAACGCAAGCTATTAACGAAATCATTGTAGAAACACGATCGCGTGTACTTACATCGGTATATTTCATCCGAAATTGTCAAGTGCTTGTACTATGTTTGTACTAGAAAGATGAAATATATTATAATAACTGTATTATAAGATACACGCGTCATTTCCAAATTTTATTATCCACGATAAATATTGAATATTCAATACAAAAAGGTGACCTAAAACTTTTGACTGTATAACCATGTTGTCTCTTCCTGTTTTCCCAAATTTCTCAGGGAAATAAAAGAGAAAAAAAAGGGGGGGGGGAACAAGGAAGCCGAAGAGAAGATGGAAATTATGCGTGCGAAAGCGAAAGAACGTTCACGTGAAACGGAGAAGCGCGAAGGGAAAAACGAAGAATCGAAGTACGCGGCTCGAAGGCAGAGAGAGAAAAGACCGAATTAACTCTCTGCGAGTGAGCTCGTTGCCGCGATGAGATGCAGCTATAGCTGTTACCAGCGGGCTGGAACGATCACTTTGTGGCGCTTCTCCATTCGTTTGAATATTTATACTCGAGTTGCAGACGTTTTGCCGGGATCGTTTAAAATTTCACGACTTTCCATTGCGAGTTTTCCTTTATAACGCATCGAGTCACGCGCCGATTGCGAGCGAAACAATCTAAAGAAGAACCTGCTACCAACCACCGTGACAATATAGTGCTTTAGTGTAAAGTGAAGTTATCCTAAATTTTATATTAATTTTTCACTTTCGAAATGATTCTGTCCATTTGAATTAGACTCCTAGTTAATCATAAATACCTAGTGTATCATTAATATCATCGTATTTAATTGTATCGACATTTAGGTGTATCAGAAAGGAAAAATTATTGTGTTCGAAGCAAGTAAATTACCACTGATTTATAACAACGTAGTGAATTACTATTAATCTATAAGAATCATATGGTAATCTGACAACGTTTGTCTATCGTGTCGTTCAATTCTTCTCTTAAATGAGACTGTTAGCCCGATATAATTTTTCGTCTGAAAACTGTCATGATCGAATAAATTGCTATTAATCTAGAACAACTAATTAATCATTTTTGTCGCTACTGTCTAAATAGTCGAAATTTAAATTCTTCCACAGATTGTTAGTTCGTTTCGTTCAATTTATCACCAGTGCACTAATGATAAATTAAATTTTAATTTAATTGGATTTGTTGATCCAATAACATACATGTCTCTGTTAATAATTAACAATGATTAACAACGAGTGTAATAATAATATCTGTCAAATAAGAGGAATCTGGATTTGCCACTTTGTTGTTGAAAGAAAAATCGGCCGAACGAAAGGAAGTATGAACGATAGGATCGAACAGCGAGAGCGAGGGAATCAAGGAGAAGGGAAAATTAGTAGAGAATAGTGGAATAGAAATTCTAGAGGAAACACATGTGTGCCGAGCGAGACGAAAATAGAGCGAACAGCTCTACGTAAGGGCTTAAAATGTACCCGGATCAGGAAGGTGACACGATTATTCTTACAGGAAAAGCCACGCGCCGGATCTGAGAGTGCAACTCGATGTTTTCGACGATCAGCGAGAGACCGACGAGGAACTGTCGAATCACGGACCGCCTGGAATTGATCTCTCTTCCCACGTGGACGTCTTCTACGCGATTCTTGGACAAGTAAGAGGAACACTTGATACCGCTGGCAGAATGTTTCGTTTTTAGTAGACTTTTGGCATTCAGAACATTCGTACCCGGCGTTTCGCTTCAGATCGCAGACACTCCGCAAGAAATACCGTTTTTGAGCATTCTCCAGCATCTGTTACGGCTGGATCCGAAAGATGCTGCCAGCGATCTAGCATGGGATACCGCGGAAACGTTGGTTCACAGAGCAACGCTGTTGGAGAATCGAGAGGACGCCACCAAATTGTTACGTTCACCTAGTCTTCAGGTAATCATTCATCTAAAGTCGTTCGACTGCAGACTTTTATAATTAAATTGTCGCAGCGAGTGGTGCATTTTAGACAGTTTATTTCGTAAATGCATAAAAGTAAGTCTAAAAATCGACCTACCAGCATCATTGTTTTCGAGAAAAGGAAAGGCGAAACGTTGTTTTCCAGACGAATCTTTGCTGTCACTGTCGAGGCGCCGAACAAACGTGCGGAGGTTCGCGGAAGGCCTCGTTACCGGTGAACAATCCGACAGCACCTCTACCGCCTTTACCACCGCCCCCTCCACCCCCTGCCCCCGTCGATCCATCAGGTGCAAGTTCGAATCAAAGCCGCCTTCTGCCACCACCCCCGCCTCCGCCACTTTTCACCGGCAACGTTACGTACACCGATGCATCGATGGAACCACCGCCAGTGCCACCGCCGTTGCACGCGTTGCCGGTCGCACGCGTGCCCACCCCCGAGCCGGCGAATAATCACGCGAGGCTGCTGCCGCAACAGGAAATACCCACCCCCAAGGCAAAAATGAAAACGATCAATTGGAACAAGATACCCAATCACAAGGTACTTTCTCCATCGGGGAACATTCAAAAATGTCATTGGAAAAACGCTTGAGCACTTTCTAATTTTCTGACGAATTCACATGACGTGACATTTGTGATATTGCCAGGTAATAGAGTATATATACAGGTCAATCTTTAATATTTAATAATCCTTCCGCGCGTCAGCTATATAGTCAGGAATCTTTAAATCTTTAATTCTTTCCCTTGCGCTGACCGGTTCGCGGACCGTAACGAGTGACCAAGCACCGTATACGATATAATTCGTCGCTTTTCTTTCCTTTTGAACACGTTCGTACGATATCGCTGGATAGAAACTATTAAGAAGTAATCAACATTGCATTTAAATATATATAAAACTATAATTAATTTAAATATATATAAAACTCAGGAAATGTTGCAATTTGGGAGAGAAAATTCTCGACGTGCGTGGCACGTCAATTCCAGCGCAAGAGGTCAACTATCTGTCGGTGATCCCCCTAGTTGACGATTATATCTATCTCACAATATTTTAGGTGATTGGGAAGCGCAACATTTGGTCCCTGGTTGCCGACGAGCATCAAAATTCACCGATGGCGGACATAGATTGGGCAGAAATGGAAGGGTTGTTTTGTCAGCAAGTGCCTCCAGTGTTGCCAGCCACTTCGTGTTCGTCCCATGGAGGGAACTCGGATGCTGAGAGACGACGTAGGGAACCAACCGAGGTAGTACACTTGCTACATATTCACGTTTGTGTATATTATAATAATAATAAACTCGAACTCTCGGACGATTTCTCCTCTTCCTCAGATCGCGCTTCTCGACGGCAAGAGGAGTTTGAACGTGAACATATTCTTGAAGCAGTTCCGAAGGTGAGCAACCCGTTGTTGAGCAATCTATCCAAAGGGTAGAAGAGAAATATTGAGAAATATGATTTCCACAGTTCGAACGAGGATATTATTCGGCTCATAAAAGACGGCAGTCACGACGAGATCGGGGCAGAAAAGTTACGCGGCCTTCTGAAGATTCTGCCGGAGGTAGACGAACTGGAAATGCTCAAGAGCTTCGACGGTGACAAGTCGAAGCTCGGAAATGCCGAGAAATTCTTCCTGCAACTCGTTCAGGTGCCAAAGTAAGGAAGGGAACGAGCGCAGTTTCCTATTTTAGATGAACAAAATTTACAAACGATCCTTCCCTTCCTCGTCAGTTACAAACTACGCATAGAATGCATGCTGCTGAAGGAAGAATTCGCTGCTAACATGAGCTACCTAGAGCCAAGCATCAATTCGATGATCCTAGCTGGCGAGGACTTGATGACGAACAAACCACTTCAGGAGGTGTTGTACATGGTTCTGGTCGCCGGGAACTTTCTCAACTCGGTACGGACAATGAAACAGACAAGTGTTTCGTGGTCGTTTGAAAATTGTCGCGCGATAAATGCTGACGTGTATGTATGTATAGGGCGGTTACGCTGGAAACGCAGCCGGAGTAAAGTTGTCTTCTTTGCAAAAGTTAACCGAGATTCGAGCGAATAAGCCGGGAATGAATCTCATACATTACGTGGCGCTGGTAACGTATATATACTCTTCCGTGTTACTCTTCCGTTCCCCGCGTGTCATTTCTAGTTTATGTCCGAAACGTTTCCGTCCACCCGTAGCAAGCCGAAAGGAAGAGGAAGGATCTGCTGGATTTCGCGAAGGGTATGACAGCACTGGACGCCGCCACAAAGTAAGTTGCCAAGCGAAAAATGATCTACTCGATTTCACCAGCTAAAACGTTCTCTCTTTTATCCTTTGTCCTGTGCGTGTGTGTTCGTGGTACGCAGGACCACAACGGAGCAATTAAACAACGAATTTAACGCACTCGACACAAAGATCAAAAAGATCAAGGCACAGATTAATTTTCCTTCGACGGAAACCGACATACAGGAACAGATGGCACAGTTTTTGCAGGTATCGCGTCTTTAATGATTATTTGGTTGGTAAAGCAAACAAAAANAAAAAAAAAAAAGAAAGAAAGAAAGGGAAAAGGAGAAAAACGTTAGAAAATCATCGAAAGCGTCAAGAGGACTTTCATTAATCTAACGTTCGTGTTGTAGATAGCGGAACAAGAGATGAGTCAGTTGAAACGAGACACGGAAGAGCTCGAAACGTTGAGGCGTTCGCTCGCCGAGTTTTTCTGCGAGGACAGCAACACTTTCAAGATCGAGGAATGCTTCAAGGTGTTGCATCAATTTTGTCAGAAATTCAATCAAGCAGTCGCGGAGAATGAGAGACGTAGAATTCAAGAGGAACAGGTATTAGCGAGGCGCAAGCAACGAGAAGAACAACTTTTGGCCAAAAAACGATTACGTACGTGATGTCGATTGTATGTGCTACGGGTTTTTATGCAAATTCATGTTCTCGACAACGTAATTAAAGTGATAGAATTGATTTTATTTTACTATTTTCTCACGTTACTCTGGGCAATTGTATTCGCACTCCAAAATTATCCGTAAATGCATAAAAATTCGCTGTCCGCCAATTCGTTTTATAAATCGTTTCACCCGAATGTTACAGTGACCAGCAATAACCAACAATTCGAGGCGCCAATCTCCGAGTCCGAATACAATTTAATCGGCTACGATCCTTTCGATTTTGCCAGCGGTTTACCTCAAAGGAATTACAGTCGCGCCGACGCCAAGGTACGCGCTTCACATAAATATATATGCCATATACCACCCATTTCCAGCGAAAACACCGAAATGACAACATTCAATTTCTTTTTCGGCTATTTTTTTTTTTTTTTTTCTTTTTACTCAAGATCAAAAGACTGCAAAATGGAGGCGTTACTTCCGACGAAGATGTCTCGATAACCGGATCGCCCAGTATCCGACGACGTTTAGGTTCTTGTTCCGGTGGAATTGCCGACCAGCAATCTACCAAAGAAGAAACGTACTCACCAGGTAAAACTCTCAGTTTTATCCAATGATCGCGACGTATTTTTTTTTTTTTTTTTTTTCACGCATTCGGTCTCGTTCGCATCCGCAGACGTCACACCGAATGGCACCCTCCGGCGTCGAAGAAGTCGGATACCAAGCGAGGATGACGACGGTAATCTAATGGATTTCTTGAGAACGTCGGGACAAGACGGCACTCGCGAGAGAAAATCATGGGGTAGCCTAGGTACTACCAACCAACCGCCGTTTGCCAAATACGTGAAATTCCAAGACGAGATTCGTCTAATTTCCCATTCCATTGCTTCCTCAGATCGTTCGTGGGCAAGAAGAGCACGCGGTCATTCTCGCCGAAGCGATCTACTGAACGCCGACTTCTCGATTGATCGCGAGAGGCCAAGCTCCCCGTCGCCTTTGATTGAGAGCAAACCTTTCTTGCACGAGGAAGAAACGAAACCTGCTGGGTAATCTAGGAACGTAGTGACTAGGTTTCGATCGCGATTTAACAGACTACTAGCTCGACTTAACCCTTTGCGGTCGTATTAAATTTGGACATTTGGGTGCCGTACTGGTCGGAATTAATTTTTTGGAGTATTATTTTGAAATATCTTAAGAAGCGAGAATGCCTAATTACAGTTAAACGCAATTTGTAAAATATTATTTGGAATTCTACAAAGTATCTTCGAACCTTGCCGATTTCTTTACGCTCAAGAGGCGACTGACTCGCCACGGCGTCTTGCATTGCGAGCGAGGGGTGACAGCTTTTGTTTAGACTGGGTTTCGTTATCTCCAATTGATAGAAGCACCGTATTGGTTCGTGAATAGGTTCTTTAGACATTCAGGTTCGTTCAGAGAAAGTATAAACTGATACATGGATGAATACAGTATAAGATTAGAGTGGTTCCTTGCTGTGGTGGCTGAGAGTAGACATACGACGGCCGCAAAGGGTTAATCTGCAATAGGATGAAGATTGAAACTTGCTCGCTATGTTCCCATCTTAACGAATTAATCATGATCCGTGTAAATACGCATCGAGTGTTCTTACGTTACACGCGCGTGCAACAGGAAAGCGTGGCGGCAAAAGATCGAGGCATGGTTGTCGGAGAACGAGAAGGAAGACCGTGCGGGTGAGGAGCTTCAGAGGAAAGCGAAACAGTTGCACAATGCGAATCGACGCTCCTACGAAGACTCTGGTAAATATTTATACGGCATACACGTTCCCCCCTTCTACCTATAATTCGATCTTAAATTCTATTGCTACATCTCTAAATCTCTATATCTCTATATCTACGCAGAGAACGAAGGCAAGATGAATACACAGATCGAAGGTGGTTCCATTCAAGAGACATACTCGGAAGTTTACGACTGGCGTCCGTCCGTGGAAAAGACAGATGTAATGCGTACGATGGAGGCTATCGAAGGTTATTCTTTCTGTCACATTGTGCCCATATTTGTCACTTGTATCAAATTCTTTTGTATAAAAACGTGTAATAAATCGAATTTTTTTAAGTTCCAATTTGACATTTGAATTTGTTTTCGTTTTAGAAGCGGAGACGCATCCATCGCAAAAGGACAAATCCCCTTGGCGAAAGTCGAGCCTAAACGTACCAAACAGCATGGAAGAGACTGATCCCCGTTACTCCCGTAGATTAAGATCGAGGCTCAGCACAGAGAACGTATTAACCTCTAGCACCTTGCAGGTTAATATGCTTCAACGATATCAATCGAATATCAATTACTTCTGTCGAGAAGAAATGATTTTAAAACCTCTTTCTTAACGTCGCAGTCAATCAAAGAGGAGGAGAGAAAGAAGAATAAAGCCGCCGACACCGTGAGTCCAGGCTCGCAGGACGAATTGACGATTTATCTACGGCAACCTTACGGCGATTCACAACCTGCCGGGCCGCGGAGATTTTCGAAGCTGAAGAGAGGCGTCGACGAAGAGAAGATCGACAAGATAGAGATCGATTCCGACAATATAGAAACACCGCCGGCAACCAGGAAGCTATTCAGCCCGTCGAAAGAGGTGAAGCCGGTTGAGAAAGAGCCGTGTAAAAGGGAGCGTTGCAGCAGCTCCTTCCAAAACAGGGATTTTAAAAGTCCGATGCCGAAGAACGCAAGCAACAACGCCGACTTCGGAATAGGTGAGTAGCGCAGAATTAATTAATTAATTTCGTCGCCGTTGCCAATCGTTATTCACCGTTGTTTCAGGTAATTTTGATCGTTATTCGGCGGCGAGGAGAACGCGAAGATACAAAAAGAATCAAGACACGGCGGAGAAAGATGCGAAACAGGAGTCAACGATCGACGTCGAGCTGGAAGGGAAACCACCAGTGGCTGAACGTCCGCGCACGTTGCCACTGTCGGAGGAGGAGCGCAACGAAAACTCTGATTGGCAAGATAAATCGAAGCGGCAGGCAGAATCGTCGGCATCGTTCGATATCGATACGGCGTTGGCAGAGATCGCTCGTTCCGGCGAGGACCTTCAACGATTGTCGCGGCCACTGGCGCACCGAAACTCGAGATTACCAATAAGTCAACCATCGGCCGTGGTTGCCGTGACCAACACGGTCCTCAGCCCGGTGATGCACGAGTCTCGACCACGGGACACCTCGTTAACCGTCCTCCCGGAAAGAGCAGTGACCAGTCGCGAACGACAGAGAAGCATGATCGACCCTAGTCAAGTGAAAGAAGCGATCAGATTGACCAACAATCCACCGAGTCAAGTGAACGATTGTCAAAACGTCTCGGTGTCACGGCCGCGAAATCAATCCCGATCTTGCGGAACGACGAACGAATCTGCGAACGACGAAATCGATCTGGCCAACAGCGACTCGAGTCGTTGCCAGGGGAACAAGCCCAACGCCGAGATCTATCGCGAGAAATCTCGGCGAGAAGACTCGACGCTGCAGAACCACCAAAGCAAGATACAACCCGTGCGATTTAACACGGGCGGCTCGGTGTTTCATTCCGGGTTCGCGCCGCCTGATATAAACGTCACCAACACTAGTTCCAACACCTCTTGCTCTTTGCTACAGCCCACCGGGAAGTCACGAGACCAAGAGATGAACGACGAAGGTTTCGAGGAAACGCAAAGCTTAGTCTCGGAGACCCTCAGCCAGGAGACGTCCTCCGGAAATTACGAGACGGACACTCACGACTCGACGCGATGCTCACCGGCCGAGTTACGTTACTCCGAGACCGACAATCAGCTTCCGGTTCGCGAGCATGTCCAAGCAGCTGGCCACGATTCCAGAAAGTCGATACGAGGTACGACGACGAAAACGATGTCGTCGCCGTCGCCGTCGCCGTCGCCGTCGATGTCGATCGCGAAGGGATTCGAGAAACGAGCGAGCTCGACGAAACGCGCCACCGAGAAATCCAGCTTCCTTCCGAAACGAACGAACGCTTTGAAGCGAGACGTTGCTGCCAGAAAGGCGGCGGAGTCGATGCAACGAAATTCCAGTCTAACGTACCAGTTGAACAACCATCAGCCGAGGAACGAAGTGGAACGTTCAGGATCGAGGAGCAGCCTTCGTAGCTCGCGGAGTTCTTTGAACAGCGCCACGTCGGTGAACACCGTGCGAAACTTAGTCCCGAATCACGCGCCTCTTCGTACTTACACGTCGGCGATTTGCGCGTTGACCAACGATCTGCGAAAGAGCCCGTCGCACAGCTCGTTACCACCGAAAGCAAACGAGAAACGACGAACGAATCCACGAGCGACGGTCACCAGAATACCCGCCAGCAGAAGTAGCAGCAGCGGGAGCAGCGTGGGTCCGACCGCGAGAACAGTTCGTAAGTCCCTCGGGGTGAGCATATCTTACGAATCTTTTATAAAATTTCCTAGAGAACACTGAACTAATTAACTTTAATCAACTTGCTTCCCCATTCACATCAGACATCCTTCACTATTCGGTAGATTGTTCTATCCTGGTTCGATTATCAGAGTTTGATTCAATCCTTTTTTTTTTTTTCATTCCCTGAATGCTTTCAAAAATTGCGAGCTCAACATTGCACTTGCTTATTTATTAATGCAAACTACTCGCTCTATATTCTTATAGTATTTTACTTTTGTGCACGTCGTCTCTATGCCCAATTTTGATTGTGCTCTTCGTCGTTTCTTCCTATCTTATCCCGTCCCGATGCGCTTTACCCCGTAGAAATTAAATTAAATTAAACTATCTTGTTTTCAGTCAACCAACGATGTGCAAAAAGGGATTAAAGGACGGGCAATCTCTTCGCGTAGTAGCAGCAGCGGAAGCGGCAGTAGCATGGGACCACAATCGTTGCCGTTAAATCGTGTAAACGTTGAAAAGGGTTCGTCGTCGACTACCAAAAGTAAGTTAATTCATCCACGAACCGGAACCAGAAGTCACAGTTTCATGAGACCGACCGCCGCAAGTGTGAATAAAGGTTCCATCCCTAATCTACCAAGAAGTATCAAAAATTTGGTTAAGTAATGACTCTGTGAAAAATGTTCATCGACACATGTACTACGTATATTAATAACTATTGGCAATACTGTATATATACTACTTGTCTGAATTTTCGTAACGTTAAATGGTTCTTTTTGGCACAAAACAGTAAAGAGATCGTTCGCGAATGATAACATTTTAAGCTCGATTCACGTTTCAGCCAGTTTTTAATACCATTATGACATATCGATGTGAAGGATTGAAAAGTAGTAACTTAATATTTACGATATATAGTTTTGTACTAAAATACAATTACTGCAACGTTGAAAATTCAAAGAAACGAGGACTATTGTAAAGTAATCTATACACATATCGCCAACCGTTGAATGGAAAACACAATATATATGGCATTACGCTTTGCAGAAGTCTCTGCATCATGAAAACTGTATTTGCTGGTATGTAAGTAAATGTTCATTAAATGTAAATTCGTGTATCGCGTGAAATCGTTTGTAATTTGAGTACGAATTGTCGAATTACGAACAACGAGATAATGCAAGAAATAACTTATATCGTCTGTATCGGCCATCTACGTTAGCTAATTGTACGGAATAATTATTTTCAGTCTTTTTGAATACAATTACACGAACATGTACCATAGGAGGTCACTAATAATTAATTTAACTCGCGCAATACACGCGCGAGTGTCATTGATAACAAAAAGCAAATAAATATTATGTAACTCTGTTCAAAAAAAGAAGATTTTTAATACCGAAACACAAAACGTCATTCGTATAGTGTTCGAAATCGCCTTATTCTTCGTAGATGATGCACGAAGATGTAGGGGAACATTCAAACAACTAAATAATCCAAGAATAAGACGATTTCAAAATCAACGCGCACACAATTAAACATAAGGAAGTATTACGATATATCCGGTATATATAATATATAAGTATACATATATCCGGAATTGAAGAAACAAAAATTACTTACAGCATTAATCATTTCATGATCGGCAATGAAAGAATTATAAAAGATTTCGATAATATTTAAACATCAGTTTGTTGCATCTTCTTAAGAACGATCACGGAAACCAAAGGAGACCGGTCCTTTCGGCGCGAGGATAAATTCAAATTGTAACTCAAGTTCCTCGTCTACGATGATCTCAAATTCCCGTATGATCTACGAAAAAAAAAAAAGAAAAAAATCCAACGATTAAACGTCGCAGCGTCAAACAACGTTTCCAAATGTGCAAAACAAACCTTTGCCAAAATAAGCTGTAACGCGAGATCCACAAACCGCTTGCCTGGACATATCCTTCTTCCAGTTCCAAATGGCGCGACCAATAACGGCGAATGAGGGCTGACAGGGGTCAGCCATCTTTCAGGCAAATATCTTTCGGGAGTTTTGAAATTCTCTTCATCCAAACCTGCTATCCAAGTGTGTAGAAGCACCGTAGTCTAGAAGAGAAACATTAAACAACCATCTGAATAAGAAAGGAGAAATGTGACAATTTGTGAATAACACAACTATTACTTACTCCTGTAGTAAGATGATAACCACTGAGTTCGATGGATTCGTCCAAAATGCGAGCGATACAAGTTGTCGTTGGAATCATTCTAAATGCGAAATGACATAACAAAGCCACAAATTAAAACGTGTTAGAATCTCTTTGAAAAAAAAAAAAAAAAAAAACGCAAATTTACGCACCGATATGATTCGGTAATACATGCGCGAAGATACTTCGCTTGCCGTAGATCCTCGATCGTTAGATCGCAGCCAGACGGTGCCAATGAATACGCTTCTTCATAAAGTTTAGCTTGTACGTCTGGATTACGCGCGATTAAGTCGAACAAGAAGACCAAAGTGTTTCCTAGCTGTACACAAAAATTGAGAAGGTAAGAAAATGCAGTGGAAAAAAATGGCGTAACACGTTCTTACCGTGTGTATACCAGCTGCTATAAAGTCAACGATAGCCGCCTTTTTGTCGCGTATATCGAGACTCTTTTGCCTCAGAATAGATTGAAAAACAGCCTCGACCGATTCATCCTTAGCATCGTTACGCTTCTCCAATATAGTTGCTTCAACGATTTCCGAGATAATACTGAAGAGAAATTGCATTGAGAACGAATTGAACTTGTAATCTAAACAGTAGACTTTCTCTTATTGGCTCTACCGGCCAATGATCGTCGTAGAAATAGATAACAATAATGGACTTTGACATAAAACAGTCGATAATTCATTATCAGTTGTATTAAAAACAAAAAATAAAAAAAATAACCGAACTTTACGTCTAAGCATTGGTATTAATTTTTAATGGTTTTACAAGCCACTAATATATCAATCTGCCAAATTATCAAACTATGAATATCCTGATGCTACAAGCGGAATTTAAAAGCGGTTCACAATGAACTTAAAATTTCGAACCAACGTGAAATTTTATATAAAATCTGCGTTTAGTTATAGATGATACTGTCCATAATTAATTAGCTATTCTCATTTGTATTGGCCGGTGAAGAGAGAGTGGCGTCTATTCGTGTGATGTCGCTTTGAACATACTTGTATATTACATCTTCGCTCTCTATTAGTTGCTTGTATGCGGAAGTTGGTAATAATTTCCACAGTGGTAGTCCGTAAAAGGCGTCCCGCGAGGCCGTAAAGTGTATCCTGACAGCTTCCGCCAATCTCGTGGCGTGTTCGCTGCTGGAATCTGGCTTTAGAAAACCCAAATGTCGACCCAGGATCAAAGTACAGGTACCTAGAACAGAAATGAAATCCACTATTAGAAGTAGGTGCGACAATCGCTGTCACAGTAGAAATCAGTCTTACTTTCGAGTCCCATTCTGTAAGCAAGCTCCTCGAAACCTGTCACTTTGCATCCCGTTCTTCGTCGACGAATCAACTCGATGAACGAATCCGCGACGACATTCAGGGCCGGGAAGAAACCAAGGACAGTACTAGCGGCCGTCAGTTCTGACGTAAGAGCTACCCGAAGATTATGCCACGTTGGTCCCTGCCTACCGAATTACACGTTCGTTTAAATTAACGGCGTCCTTCTCCTCCATACAAATGTGTCATTGAAGTAGCACTTTACTACTTTAACCCTGTTACTTTGAGAATTGCATTGTATTTCCTAATAACGTTCTTATTTACTTAAGAATTTCACATTTCCCAAAGGACACGCGGTTCAAATTATACCTTCTAACTTCAAAATTCGATGGTGTGAAATTCTTGAAAAGGTAAGAAGAAAATGCATCGTTAAAAAAAAGAACCACGATGTTAAACGTTTCTACGAGGAACCTTACCGTAAAATTCCCCTATTTCTATTATGAAACTACGACGTATGAGCACACGCGCATACAAAACATGCTCGCCACTGAACGAGAAGTGCTTACTCGTTAACCAAACCGAGATTCGTGTAACGATCCCGACGAGTCTGCCGATAATAGGATATGACTTCTTGCGGAGGACGAAGTGGATACTTGGAGTTTCGGCGTAGAATAGCTTCAATGTCCTGACGCGAGAACACAGAGATCACAGGGAAATTCCATAATGCTTCCTCTTTGCACAACGCTCCGTATCGTCGGTGCAAATCTATTCTTGAATGAGAAACAATCAGTTGTTACGATAAAACGTGCGTAACGTATCCACGATTTGATTACTCGAGCGAGAAAATTCCAAACGTGACGTTAACAAAGCCGGCGTTGCGTGCAGACCAGGACCAAGTTCCTTACCTCTGTAAGCATCGTGAATCTTGTTCAGTTTGTAGGAACCGATATAAGAAAATATCCATCTAGTTCCAAAAATCGGCAAAGGATACGGTCCTGGTACATTGGACACTGTTTTCTGGCATTTTTTATCGTGCTTCTCCTCATTAGCTGGTACTGTGAACACAACATGGTACGTTTCGAGGTGAGTACACTCTGATGTATTCTAATTTCTTTTTTTACGAATGTCTAAAGGATTTATGAAAGTCAAGTTTAATTTTTTAAATGAAATCATTGAGCGACACATTTCATTTTCTGTAAGAAGATATTCATCTAAAAATTATTAATCCGAGAGATATTTCAATGTCAGTTCTGTATAAAATGTCATACGAAAGACAAAGAAGTACAGACATACACAGTGTTCAAATGGTTATGTTATTCTTATCTTTCATGTATGACATTTAAATGACTGAGCGATATTTCAAAGTGAAATGGAAATAGTAACATTCAAGAACGGAGTAAAGAATTTTAAAAGTTCTAACGAACGAATTGCTTTAGAGGCTGAAGGTCTGTAGTGTTCTAATAATAATTTCTCAAGCATAAATGTAAGAACACGAGGTTTTCAAGGTCGACGAACACGTGACGTTGACGCGTCAAGGTCGTGTCGAATCGTGAGATTCGAGCTTAGAAAGGCCATTCATTTCAAATTGAAGGCCGCCCATACACGAAATATCATTCTCTCCCAACTAATCTCCTGAATTCGCGCGCAATTGCTTGAACACATCATTGCGTTAAGAAAAGAAACCGTGCATTATTCTGTGTTATATAGTAATAGTAAGCAAGTGTTACACATGTTCTTTCTATTTTTCCTATTATTTATTTTCATACATAGTAGAATGCATACATTGTTGCAGAATAATCAGTTTCTTACGTACATCTGAAGTTCATACAATAGGAGCTCAGCGAATCCCTCTTTTGTTAATTAATTTTTCATTCATATAATACGTTTTAGATAAGCAGATTCAACTAACAAGAGTTTAATCGAGCAACGACTGAATCTTCTGTTTCCGATAAATGGATAAGTTCCATTGTAACGTGTGACTTGTAAAGATTTTCATTCCAAAAACAGCTTCAGAGACTTACCCTTGGCTTTGTGAGAGGTACCGGTCCAGAACCACCAAGCTGGCCGATAACTAGTGGCGAAGATCAATATCGTCAAAAGAGCCGCCGCGATTATTTCGAACCAAACGCTTGACAGTAACATCTCGAAACTCCTACAAAAAGAAACAGGAAGAAAAGCGGTCACTTGCGAATCACTGTCGCCTCTGGATCACTGTTCCAACGGATCGCTGAATCTTTGTCTCGTTATCGTTGCGAAATACCGATCTTTAAGCGAAAAGTACACATTGCGTGCCACGATCTTCAACTTGGACACACGAGTCAACGCGACGCGAAAATGATTATTTTCACAGACGTTCGTTATCACAGACGATAAAGAGATATGTCGAGAGAGAGAGAGAGAGAGAGAGAGAGAGAGAGAGAGAGAGAGAGAGAACGGGCACAAATTCAACACCGCACATACCAGACACTTTGCATATTATAATTCTATATTTTCGTGTAACAGTACGATCGGTTGTTGGTAGGAACGACCGAATCGGGGGGGGGGGGGAAGAAACTGTAACAACACGACGCGACGATCAACGACGTGTTGTACATATGTAAAATACATACGAGCAAGTAGTTGAGACCCGGTGTTCGATCCTAGACAGGTAGGGGATTCGTTCGACCGGTCTATGGAGAACGATCGTAAAACAGGAAACTGATAGAGAGAGAGCTTGTTATGCCTCGATCTACAAGAGGAGAAGAGCGTGTGATAGATATATAGTACCGCTCGCGGAAGGAGCGCGAATCGCGATAAATCCAACTGGCCAGTTAGCGAAAAAATAACGCACCATCGCTGCTTCGAGTCCATTCGAGATTGACTGAATGTCCCAGTGTTATTTACGGACAAGCGGTTTCTTCTATTTGCAATGGGCTGATAACACGCGTCGTCACAATGACCCTGCTCTCTCTTTGACTCGCTAATCTCAAAGCTGTTACACGGATCGAAGAGAAAATGCCTAAATACCCGTCCCCCACTGCGATACAACACACGCCGAGAGACACACGCTCGTCGTTGGCTTGTGTACGTTTCGTGCGATCGAGACCTGTTGTCATCGGCGATTATACCAAATAATCGCGCGAGTTTTGCCGTGCCCGTTATTACCAAAACAGTCGAGAAACTATTATCACTCGTAAATTTCATATTTATTATATTATCGCGGCTTATATTGACTTGCACGATATCGAGCAAATATCGCAGGTTGTTTTTGCGAAGAAAACGTTTTCGTTTGGTTTTTTCGTGAAGACCAAGTTATTCGATGATCCTTCGCTAACTATTGACGCGATAGACATGCACTATTGATTGTCATTATCGCGAGTGTGTGACTATATCAAGAGCGGCAGTGGCTACGAGAACCAATTGAAAGAACCGTGAAGAAAGCTACTGCGTTTCCACAATTAGGAACGTTTCTGGAAAGAGAATCTACGGATCTTTTTTCCCCGGTAAATCGTCTTCCACGTAATTAACAATTCAAACAGTAACTGCTGAAGAAACTAAAATTGAAACTTCTGACGCGATCCATTCAATTCGCCATTTTCAGCTTCTTTCAGATACGTCCCCCGATTGATTTATTTAAATATTAATCGCCATATCCACGATATTTATTGATAAAGCAGACAACGTAACCGATAAAAGTGACCGAGTATTCGTCGGTTCGCAAAAATGTCTCTCCGTGTAACGGAGTTGCGTTCTTGTGTTCGCCGCTCGTTAACACGACCATCATTAAGTACCGGTGTCTGCGATTCTTCCATAGGTACAAAGTACAGTATTTCGATGGAGGATACATCAAATAACTTCATAACGTTTATCAACCGTACAACACAAACCAAAAAGAAACGTTATGTAAATCGTTATTTTCTTCCCTGACACGCGTAGTAAGAGTAAGTTGAGAAAGTTGAATGCATATTATCTTATTAGCGCGACCTATATGTCGGTCAATTGAATATTTACGTTTAATAAGTCTCAAATAAATACGTTGAGCACTTATCTACATTCGCGAATAACTTTTAGCGATAATGCGTTATTAATGCTGTTACGGTTAATTAATCTAATCTCGAGTCGAAATATCTAATATCGTTACTTTGCAACAAATTGACTCGCTACGTTTGTCGTGTACTTTTGCAAGTTGATTTTACAAATTTACGTATTTTCTAAAACTAATGACAAATTGTGACAAACACGCAACGAATCGATTGCACTAATTAGTAACAAATCTTTTCTTGCGTCGTACTTACATATATATATAACGTGCCAATCGTGCGAGCGAAGGGATGAACGAATTTTTAAATTTACAATTATATGATTTACCTATAAACTACAGACAGATACTAAAATTGACTTGTCAAACACTCGCAATTTAAATGTTCTATTGTTTTAGCATCGCGTAATCATTTGTGTGCAATTCTCATCTTTAGAGAAATCTAATTAATTTTCATCAAAAGCTAAACTTGATAAGTCGATCAAACAAAAGAAGCAAACGAAGATCAAATTCGATTTCGAACTGACTTGCTTGTTCCATTCAAAGAATAATGATTGATATAAAGAAATAGAAACCAATTATTCTTCGTTCCCACGATACAATCGTCGATCACTAGAACCACGTGCTCACACAGCGCAATTTACACTATTTATTCTTAACTACGCGTACTGTCTCGCTTTGAATAAATTTTGTTCACATAAATTTGAAGCAGCAGCAAGAAGACGATATTCAACAAGTGTTTCAATGATTCGCTTATGCCTGGGAAGTCGTCGGATTTGTTTAAATTTGCGTGGTCGTGTTGCAGGTAGTGATCAACCAGTGTATAAAAACGAGACGTTCTTGTACTTACGAAGGGTGCGTGTAGTCTGATGTACAGTTAAAAAGAGACACCAAACGGTGTGTCGTCGTCGTTGAGATGATTGTGATGGTGGCGGTAGCGGTAGTGGTGGTGGTGGTGGCAATGGTGATTGTGGTGGTGGTAACGGTGGTAGTGGTGGTGATAGTGGTAATGGTGATATTGATGATGGACTATGGTGATTTTGCAGTAGTCGCGGTAAGATTGACCGTAACCGTGACAACATTGACGAAATCATTATCATACCCTGTCCTGTAATAAAAAAAAAAAAAAAAAAAGAGTACAAGTAAACATTCAAACCATTATTTTTAATTTAGCGGAGATATAAGACAATAATAATCAAACATCGATTATTGAGATAATAAAAACAAAAGTTTTATTGTCAAATCCTCCACGAATAAATGACGCAAAGTTCTCAACGATCGGATAAAAGTCGTAAGTATGAAGGTCGGTGAGTATAGGATACATATGAAATACAAAGTACAAAAGAATAATCCGAAGCGTGCATTGCTACAGGACATTTACTCACATAATATGTATGTACATGTATACACACGTACAGGTGGTATATCGTTGTACCAAAGGTAGTCGACCAACCAGGAAGTGATCACGGGCAACTGGTCACTCGCCGGAATTCTGTCCGTTGCGATTACACGCAATTTCTGTGTAGTCTGTTTCAAAATTGAAATTCCTCTCGGTATAATGACACACTAGTAAAACAGGGATTTTTTCATACGAGATGTTATTCGGGAAAGAAAATTGTTGCACAGTGTATTCCATAAAACAAATTTCTTCCAAATTCTTTTTTAGTAGCATTTTTTTTGCAACACGCTCCTTTATGTGCGATTCCTTCAGAAACGAAACAGTGCGAACGTTAAACACATTTTACAATTGCAAAATAGCAAGTTCTTTCAGGATTAGATTGTCACAATCTTGACAACACATTTATTGTTACTGCTTTCCCAACTCGTTTCGATTATTTGATCACGTTTTACAATTTAATCGTTGTTCGTTACTATATTTGTAAAAATGAACGGTACAACTTCCGTAAAGATGTCGATATTCGGATCTAGACTGCGACCCAGGCCTTCGATCACTACCATACTGAGAATCACGCTGCTGAAGGTCCCGTCCTGCTTCACTCGATGCCGAACCATCGCGGAAAACAATTCAGTCACAACGGTACTCACACTCACCTGCAACATTTTAAGATGTTCGTTGAAAATGTCTTCTTCGATTTCGGCCATTGCTTTTCACGTGATACACTCGTATCTTTAAAAATTACATTAATTCTACTTTGAAGATGTGAATTTACGATGTCTTTCATTGCACTTTTGAAACCTTCTGGGTCCGAGGATACGCATGAACTATGTTTCAGAATATGTTCCGCTGCCAATTCACCCTACAATAAATAAATAAATAAATTAGTACATGAAAGAGAAATCGAAGTGAAAAGAAGAGAAAAAGTAATAAGTATATGTGTGTACATTTCCCATAAGCACCGATCGAAAGACATCTTTAAGATTTCGTCGACAACGATCATTTAGAGACACTACTAAACCGCAATCGAGTATGACTATACGTGGATAAGTTGGTAAGAAAGAAATAAACTTCCGAAACCAAGTGCTAATTTTTCCAGTTGGTTCGCAATTTGTTTGTACCAAAATATTACCAGGATGCAAGTCACAATGAATAAAATTGTCCTTAAATACCTGTTATTTGTGCGGTAATTTTGATTGCAATTAAAAAGAATCAATCAACTCCTCGACATATAAGTTAGTTAAGAGATTGCGTTATTGTTAACCATTTTCAAAATCGTTTTAATTCCTATCTTAGCTAGTTTCCCTTGCAACTTCGTATCGTGACCGTCAAGATAATCGGAAATTGGAGATCCTTCGTGAAAACTTTCCACGAGAACTTCACACTGAGTAAACTCTGTATAAGGCCGTGGAAATATGACATCTTTTTTCTTAGAGAAATTTTTTGAAAATTGAAGCAAATTCTGTGCTTCCAAATTCATGTCGACCTTGGCAAAAGTTAACGCGTGAAGATAAATATACCAAACAGAATTAACAGAGTGATCGAGATTTATAATCTATCCAGTTAAAGCTTACTTGATCTTCCATTATCTGTGAAAACTCGTCGATGCAGTCGGTAAGACTGAGCCATTGCAATTGCGGCACGATATATGTCGCGCATTTACAAATCCATCTCATTATAAAAAGATCTCTTCTAAATTAAACGACAAAGAAAAACGATCTAGAGATTCGGGAAGATTAGTCACTGTTTTCCGTTATACACCGTGATATATCTCGTACCTTAATTGCCCTTTAATTCCAGGATGTAAAATTTTCACCGCTACTGGCTGCAGCTTCCGATTAATATACGCATCACCGTTCGCATCTAGTTCATCGACATCATTGTTCAACATTTTCTCTGAAATTGTTTTACATCGCCCGAAATATTTGGAATATGATAATAAGTTTAATCTTTTGTATATTTACCAATGAGATTGATTAACGAGCCAAATTTCAAATATTCGACAACTGCAACACACATACATTTAAAATGCACGTATCAAGAACTACGGAAGCATGGAAGTTTTTTTATTTTTATAAGTTGACGTTTGATCGTGTATTAAATAGGACGAAAGAAAGAATTGTGGTATTTAAATGATTTACTTTGAATAAACACAGGTATTTGAGGTTTTCGTGTTACATTCACTCGAGCATTCAGATCCACCCATGCCTTGTATACCTGCCAATTGGACAGAAATCAAATCGATTTTGAAAGGGTATACAACTTACCGATCAAACTCGATCGTTTCAGTTTCATTTTTATACCTGACCACAACACCCTGACCCGATAGGCATTTCGTGTTCGAATTTCACAAATATGTCCCTCCAGTTCGAGCCGTATATAGCTTTAAGCAATTGCTTCGTATAAATCCAAGAATGCGCGGAAGCGCTTTGTTGCAACTGCGATAGCGTACGACAAACATCTTTGGGAAACAAATCTTTCCTCGTGGACGCCCATTGGCCGAATTTTATAAAAATTGGCCCGAGAAATTCGATGCCTACAATCGCAACTTATGTATCTGATACGTATATTTTTCTTTAACGTAATGAATAATTTTACCTCTCCGAAGGATCTTTGGAAACACGTGTCTATGCGTAAAACGTGTGACAAAATATACGATAGCCAATCCTGTTAGAACAGAACCAATCACGAAAATTCTCGCGACAATTAAGATCAAGCCGAGGATACTTTCGTATTCCGAGCTGTTCACCAACAAGTTATTTCCATAGATTTGCATTTGATGTTGAGGCTTGTAGGACAAAATGAGAATAGTTTTAACAGCTCGCTTCGAACTCTCGAAATTGTTGACAACGCTTCTCGGTATCGATCGATAAAACTGTATCGGGGCTACGTATCTTCTGCCTTGCCATTTTTCACCCTGACTCTTGAAAAATTTGTTGAAACGAAACACTCGCGAAATATTCGTGTAAAAAGTCATTGCAAGTCGTTAGTCGTGTTCGAACGATGGCTTTGCCATATCCGATTATCCGTCGATTACTTCGACAAAATTTGTTCCTCCGTTCAATCAATCCATTCTTTTAATTTGGAACTGATCAAAATTCAAAAATCGATAAAAATCGTTGTTCTGCACGTTGGTAATTTCTATTTGCGAAGGTTAAAACATATGTTAATATTCAATCTTACGTACTGAAGTCAAGTTAATCTACATCCAAAATTTACCGTACTGTATTACATACATTTCTCAAAGCAACCGTTGTAATCAAATTACATACATTTCGTATTTCCTCATTTGGTAACACTGCTCGATATATTCGCGACTTGTGAATCACAAGTCGATTGTTAGACGTTCGTCCATAAAGCTTTTTTCGATACAGGAAATTTCGATAATTAAAATATTAAATGTACACTTAAAAGGAAAACAATGAAAAAAAAAACTTTAAAGAAAGCAGTGAAAATAAATAATTACAATTATTTTATATTCAAGAAATAAGGTTGTGTTTACACCTTTCCTAACCAAACTAGATCATCATTTATTTGATCAATAGTTAACTTAAAGATTATTCTGTAACTGATTGTTTATACGTATATGTGTTAAAGATATTCAAGAATAAAATAAAGAGGTAACTTCATCCGTGTGCGTAATATTTAAAAATGACTCTGTATCTTAGCAAACTAGAATGAATTTCTATAGTTAACGATAAAAAATAAATGGAATTCAATAAATGAATGAGAAGTGCGAACTATAACGAATAAGGAGTACAGTATGCAGGTTTTTAATTAAAGAGGCTATAGAATGCCTACGATAGCCAGTTCGTCTTTAACATATGAAATCCTTATGTATCTAAACTCTTTCTATTTTGGTATGTTTGCCATATGTGAACTGGGTATGGGCTTTTTTAAAGCTGCCAATCTACCTTCGCCTGGCACAAATACAACGCTGGCAGAGTTTGCGCTTTTGTTCTTCCTTATAATCACGGAAGGAGCCCGAATTTATCTTGGAAGAAAAGGAAATTTGACAGAACATGGATTACCAATTCTTATTGGAGTTATTTTAACTGTACCCAGCTCCTTAGCAACACTATACTTTCTAATTTGGCAACATTATGTACTCAGACTAGAAGTGATTCTCTGCAGCATACAATTGGTACTTCTAGCATCTGAACTAGTCATTTCTATATTGTGCCTTATTGCCATTTACAAACCTTCACCTCCAGAAGAATAAACAAGCACATCAGTACGAGTATATTTTAATCAATTGCATCATATTGTACGTGTTCCTCATCAATAAAAATTGGAATTAATTCAATTTATAAAGTGTATGTTTTCAATCACTGACATATCAAGAATCTTTTTTTTTAGAGGTAACAAAATACATAGACATTCTTTATAAATTAACTTTGTACACAATAAATCGTATAATCAATTTTTTTTTTATTAATTCCTTGTAAAAGTGACATGTTTTGTCTATAATAAAATAAATATTTCTTGAATAAATAATGCATTTTTTGATTTAATTATTTTTAATATATATATATGTATATATGTATATTTTAAAAGTACTCAAAAGTTTTAAAAGTTTTCATTATGAAACTGAATTACAAATTCAGAGAATTAAAAAACTGAATGTTTAAATTGATTATTTTCTCTAATGCTCCTAAAATATATGAAAATTGCCGAAATATTATAATCAATGTTCGATATAAATTAATCTCTTTTTTGCAACTAGAAAACAAATTTTATATGCATTTAAAAAAAAACTTTTAAATTTAATAGAATTTGTACCTATGTTTTTTGTTTCTCTAATTAATCTTTTATACTATTTGCCGCAGCCCTACGTCTTCTTATTGCACGTAATCGATTGTTACAATATATTCGTAAGAATACCGAACCAAATACTAGTAGAATACCAATAATACCGATAATTGTTACGCGATGATGATACATCAAACAAGATAACAATATAGCCAAACCCTGAAAAGAGAAAAACATGAAATATTTTAGATTTCTTATATTATTAATAGTAACATACGAAAAAATAATAACCTGTCGTATAGTCATCATAATGACAAATGTTACTGGGCCGAATTTAGAAATTGTATAAAAGATATATAATTGACCACTTGCAGAACAAATTGATATAAGTGAGCAATCCACAATGAACCTAGGATACTGTGCAATAACAAGAATATTAAAGATATTTGAAATATATGTAGTTATGATTCTTTTTGTTAACTGAAATCACCTTTGTCATAAAAGAAAATATGAGAGGGAAACTAGATTGTTGAAATAAAGACATTGCAGTTAATAAACAGGAAAACATATTAACTACACACATCATTTGCACACTTGTTGCACCGTACTCCACAAATAATGCACTTTGCCAGGTACTTGTAAAACTATCTAATAATAAATAGCCTCCTAAGAGAATAATACCAGATACAGTAGTAGCTCCATCTAAAAATATTAAAACAATTACAAAAGAAAAAATTGTAGATTTACATTAAAATAACAAAAGAATGCTTACCATTTTTGTAATCTGAACTATCTAACATGAATAATGTCATTCCAATAGAAATGAGTACAGCTGTAACATATTCATAATATTCATATGTGGTATGTGAAATTATTTTCCCCATTATCATTACTGGGATTATTTTTGAAGCTTTTGCCAATACCTAAAATGTATACAATTATTGAAAGAAATTCCCAACTCAAGAAATAAAGACAAAATGTCAAACAAACAATTACCTGTGTCGGGAAACTGACATACTTTAAAGCTTCATATTGACACCAACTACTCATAATATTTGATAAGGAACAAAATACATACTTATAAAGAGGTGCTTTATGTTGTGGTTGTCTTTGAAATATTAAATACAACCCTGACATTAAAAATGCAAGAATTCGATTTACAAATACTAAAAATTGTGAATCTTGGAAACGATCCTTGTTACCAGCAACATCTTCATATTCCTGAAAAATTAAATATATTCATATTAAAGACATTTTGGTTAAGAAACATAACAGAATTACATTAAATTAAACTAGATCTGTACTTATAAAATATATATATTATATATATATATATATCCATATTTATGTTTAAGAAAATACAACTGCAAATTCAAAACTTTGTTTCATTACATTGTATTTATTAAATAGATTATACCTGAGTCATTATTTTTTCTTGTAAGTAACCCCATGTTAAATAACTAATTTGCAATCCAAAGAAACAATACAGGAGTAATAAAGCATCTTGTGTAAAAGTACGTTGGCTATGATTTGATGGCGCAGATGTGTAAGAAGAAGAATCCAATAATCCTGTCTCACAATTTCCCACAAAACATAAATGTACTAGCTTGGGTATACATCCTTTTCCTATTGGAAAAATCACATAGTTTCAAACAAAAGTTAATAAATTCAACTAATATATCCTGTTACTTACCTCCTCTTTGAATATATTTAGTATGACGAACATATTTATATATCAGGCAACCTGGCAATAATACAGTAGCATAACTCAATAAATTTAAACATAATTTGATAATCCAATTGTAGGAAGAAGTTTTTAAAAAATTATCTCCAGTGTTCACAAGGGATTTAATGATTTCACTAGCTCCAAATATAAGGCTTACTGAAAGTAGTAGCAAAATGCTACAGAAAAAATTATTAACAAATGAAAAGTATGATCCAACAGTTTTATTTATTTGTATTACATTTTCTAACAGAAAAAGAGAGAGGAAGAAGAAAAGAAGAAGAGAAATAAAAAGAGAATCATAATGTTTATGACTGTTAAAACAATTTCGTGTTTTGAACTTACCATATTACAATATCGCCCAAAAAATTTCGCATTGTTCTAATTATAATAGAATTTCGGTAAATTATGATTACGAATTAACTGATTGTTTCATAATTTTGCTTCCCAACGTCAACTATTTTATTGCATCTAAAAGTATTATAATAATTTGCAACTAATACTGTACTACATGATGCGTGGACGTTTAACACAGTATTATTTATATCATTTCTAGAAATTCATTTAAAAATATAGAATTCATTAAAAAATTAATAATAAAAAATATTTTGTATAATACTCTGATTAATAATTCAAAGATATCTAAAAGTATTTTTGTAAATCATTATTTAAAGTATATGTCAATTGCATTTTCCTAACAAGTGATATAACAAACTCATATCTGTTGATAAACTATATATATATATATATATATACACATACCACAAAATGCATATGATACACTACTATTGATTGTTTCTTTTTTTTTGTCTAAGAAATTTGACAATTTAATGTATTTTAGCGTGTAATTATATATTTTATTTTATTTTTTACCAATGATAGGATATATTTATTTCTCTTAATTGATAATAAATAATGAATAAATGAAAAACATCTACTGTTTCAGATACATTATTTTTTGTAATAAAAATAATACATCTGTATGTCTGTATTCGATATTAGAAATATGATAAAATAATATTTTAACATGTGCAATATGACATTTGTCCAATTATACTGCATGTACTATCACAATTTTAGTCGTTGGTATGTCAATCTATGATAGAACTGCATAGTGGTCTATGATGGAACTTGCACACAATACAAGAAAATTATCTGATGAAGAAAAATATAAATATAAAGTTTAATGTCTTATGATGTAATTTTATTTGTAAATAATTTTTATTAATAACAAAAATTACATAATCATGATTTCGCTAGGTAAGTTTCAATTGGATAAAATAAAAGGTATAAAGGTAACATGACGAATCCCAAGTTACGACGCTACTATTTCTTGAGAGAAGGGATAGTTTTATCCCCTCCTCTGAAAGATTTTAGCGGGAATTCACGTGAAAAATGTATTAAGTCTTATATACGTTTAACGTATGATATCTTTTAATCATTAACATGTATATGAAGATCAATCAGTGTGTAAAGTTTTGTATTTTATATAAAGAAAAAAATATTTTATATAAAATAACTTTTATATAGAAAAACAACATAATAGAAAAGTAAATATATTTTTGTATTTTTCCCCAAGTCAAAACTTTGGTTGTGTTAACAAAAATGACCAGCCCCGCCTGCAAATTGTATAAAAGACCATTTACAGTATGTATAGAGGGTAATATAGGAAGTGGTAAAACAACATTCTTAAGTCATTTTAAACAATTTGATAATACAACTGTTTTACAAGAACCAGTAGAACTTTGGCGTAATGTTGCTGGAACGAATTTATTGGTAAGATTATTTATAATCATTATTGGTGAAATCTTTGAATATAATTTATTGTTGTTTTTACATAGTCATCTGAAAATTATATGACATTAATAAATATTTGTTTAAAATGTTTAGGAATTAATGTACACGGATCCTAAACGCTATAGCTTTTTGTTTCAATCATATGTACAATTAACAATGCTGCAACTTCATACGTACAAATCTGCAATGCCTTATAAGATTATGGAAAGATCAGTATTTAGCGCAAGATGTTTCATAGAAAACATGAAACGCACAAAACTATTGGAGGATGTAGAAGTAGTGGTTCTAGAAGATTGGTATGATTGGTGCATACAGAATGCCAATATAGTAACAGATTTAATAGGTATGTTATCATAAACAATGCAATATAAATTATCTATTTTTATTTGACAGTAATCAGTTATATTTACATTAATATAGTTTATTTGAGAACATCACCAGATGTTGTATATAATAGAATGAAAACAAGAGCAAGAAAAGAAGAAAATTCTGTATCATTAGAATATTTATACCAACTTCATAATATTCATGATGAGTGGCTTTATGATCAAACATTATTTAATTTACCAGCACCAGTTTTAGTAATAGATGGAAACAAAAGTTTAGAAGAAATGGTCATACAATTTGAAAACTGTAAAAATTTAATTTTCAATAGAAAAAAAGAAAAGAATTGGAACGGAAAAAAAATTTTGTAAATACTTCTTGTATATCTTTCAATTGTATTACTTTTTTTAAGTTTCTTATATTAGTATATATCATATCAGTAGAGGTGTGCAAGAACCCGAAATATTGGGTCAGGGACACAAAATTTTTTCGGGATCGGAACAGGTACCAGAAAATTTCGAGAGTCTCGAATTTATCGGAATTTCTGAAAGAGTTGGGATTTGGAAATGGAAGGTCGCAGATCTAGAATCATCATTCGAGCAATTCCTTCTGTTATATCTTTTGGTTTAACAATCTTTCGCGTATCATTCTGTACATGTCACAAATTTTATATTGATTCAATTTCTTTTCTAGTACATTTAGTAATGCATATGCTTCAAATGGCGTAATAAACCAATAATATTTGCATATTTAGTTTTAAATTCATGGTGACCATGCGTGCATTCCGCCTTTGTATCATCTTTTTCTTGAAAATGTTCTCAAAAAAAAAAAAAAACTTATCTTTACCTTCTTCTTTTGCGCGATATCTTCTGCACTACTTCCTGCTACCACAACTTTACTCTCACTATCACTCGACGTTGGTTTTAAAGATTTTTAGTCTTTATTAAATTCACAGAGATTTTGAAATATACGTCTGACCTCCCCGAGTCTCTCAGCGATACTGTTCAGCAGCGTACATAATGTCCAAGAACTGAGCACGCAGTCACACGTTCGTTTACATCAGGTCACACGATTCTTAGAATTCGTGTTTCCAATAACTTCAAGACAGAAGAAATTGAACTGTATATTTACATATTTTGTAGGCTGCTAAATAGCATCGTAGAGTAGTTCGAGAAACGGTAGCCGGGTTCTCAAAATTTTCGGGACCCGACCCGACGCGACTCGACCTTTTCCCGACTGGTCCCGACCATCGGGTTCTCGCACATCCCTACATATCAAGTATATGTTAACTTAATTTTAGATTTTCTAAAATAGTACAATATAATGGATGTAAGAATATATTTGTATTCAGATAAAGACAAAAAGAAACATTTAATATTCATACTTAATAGTTTTGTAATATAATTACATGTAAATTTTAAATAATTGCATTTAAAAAGAAGATGCACTTCTGAACATTATACAGTGAGAGATTTTATGTAATTATTAATGCAAAACTATATAAATGATTGTTTTGTGCGAAGCACATATCGATAGATAATAGGCCATTGATAATCATAAGAATAAAATAACTATTTGAAATACCTGTGTGTTTAAATCTGTTATGTTGCTACTGCAACTTTATTCTGAAGTGCCTTTGTCACTTATGGTATTTTAGATTGATATCTGTATTAATTGTATGTTATTCAACAAGAAAGAATTAGTTAAATATATTGAAACATAATGAATATATGTGATTGTAAAGATCATATCATTCATTACGATTTATTTATTAAAATAACAGGTTTATAGAATATATATTATAAATAGAAACAGAAGTCAACTTTTTATACTATTATACTATTATTATTATAAAACAACTTGGATATAAAGATAATTTTTGTTTTTAATTTAAAAATATAAAAATATAACAATAAATTTGCGTATATTCGATTAAAAAATAAATTGTTCAAAAATTTATTGTTACAAAGAAACATAGAAACATTATAGCGACTTACTGCGAGCAGAAGCTAATAGTATTGCGCAATCATATTCTTTACAAATCCATAAGATGTTTATCAAATTTCCAATGTTTGCATTTTTTGTGTTAGCTCGTTTCCAGTCAAGAAATAGCTGATAAATTACCTAAGAATATAACCATTAATACAGACATTCGCGATAATATATAGAAAAGAATATTGTAATTAAATTTACTTCGCTTATGCCTCTGAATTTATAATTTTCTTCAAATTGTTCAATCTGACCCTCTGAATATAACAGCTTCCTAGCGACGTCTCTCCAACCATGTCCAATATAAGTTTTAATCGTAAATATATCATCTAAGGTAATTTCGTCAGTGCAAACACACAAGCGTTCTACTTCTGCTGGCATTTGTCGAATTTTTTTTGAGCATAGCTCTTCTGTTGCTTTAACATGACCATTAGCAAATTGATTAATATTACAAATATAACTAGTCCTCGAACCAATTTTTACACCGTTTGAATTAATTATATTATAATTCACTACACGCGTTCTCTCTCCTTGTGCTGAAAGTAAAAAATAATCACTTCAGTATGAGCAAATGTGATTTCTTTTAATAAATGAATGAATGAACAATACTTACAATGTTTGTGTTGTTTCGACTTTGTTTTCGTTTTAACATTCGGTATTTTACGTTCATTTGCATTCTGTGAAGAAGCTTTTGTATCATTTAGATCTTGCTCTTTGGTAGAAGATTTAGTATTTGTAATAGGTGCTGCGTTATTTTTTTCAGACGATGTTACATTTTGTTCTAACTGTGCTTCTGAAGTGATAGAAACAGATTCAAACTTCGTTGTTTTCGGTTCATCATCGTTAACTGTATTTGATTCTAGATTGTGCGTATATCCCTCGACTGGTATTCGCGGTGGGTCAGGTTTTGCATCGGTTGTTAACATATGAAATCGATGAGACAAATTTGAAAGAATTGGCATTTTCTTCGAAAATTTAAATAGTCGTTTCCTCGTGTTATCTATTTTTCTATAATGGAAGTATCATAATATGAATTCTATATTTTCATTATCATTGCATTTGATGAATGTGTGATTTATGATGATTAATCTCTGAAACAAATATAAACATAAAGCAGACTCCAAAAAAAAGCAAAAGCGTGAATGTAACAAATTATACATCCGTTTGTTAATTTCTTGATTTACGTGCTAATATAATTTTTATAATTGTATATATTTTAATTTTTATAAAAATAAATGATACAAAGATTTCAATTCAGATATTTTTTTTATATAGATTTATACTCTTACCTTTTTTCTCTTGGATATCTGAATCAAGTTAAGGAAAACTGAGCAGGAAACTACTTTACTATTTTGCAAGATCTTTATCTCCTTATCATGGATGCATTAGACTATGCCGACAGTATCTAGAATACCAATATTTATAACAATTATGTACGTGTTACTGTACAAATTGTCGTTAGTAGTATAGAAAAGTAATAGAAGAGAAATGAAATGAAAAATGAAATAGATTCCGTTATTAAAAATACTAACCACATGAGTGTGAATTTTAATGACTAAATGTCGGGTTTCTGGCTGGTAAATCGGACGATCTCGGGTTTTCCAGAAGCGAAAGTTCATGACAAACGATATCGCTAGAAATAATTAGCAACGCAGATCAGCTGAATAATTAATTTTCAAGCAGATAATTATTTCTTTTTATTATTTGTAATATTCTTGTAGTCATTTAATTTATTCTTATGAATTATGTTCGAAACAAAGGAGCAATGCAATTTCGAATAATGACTATAGCTTATCAACCTCTAGAAACAACAAAAGCGCAGAATTCTTCAGAAATCACGTTTAATATTAAGAAGTATCATTTTTCTTTTATTAATTACAACATCTCCGAATGATGTAAAATATTTTCAAACAAGATATTTATATATGTGTATTTATATATATTTATATATTTTAAAATAAGATTTTCTTATTTAAAATATTCAAATTAATTTAATTTAAAGACTTACAGTTTCTCGATTTTTATACATTTTTTGGCTGATGGATATCTTTTCACTGTTTCGAAAAAAAGTTATACTCGTTCTTGACAATATTGCTTCTAAATAAAATTTGTTAGCGCGCACAGTCACGGATCAGATTGTATGAATTGACCAAGCCTGGGATTTCGTTATATACCTCGTCTGTGGTTAGGTCTATTCATTTACCTCGTCTGTGGCACAGTTTTTTTTTTTTTTTTGTTACCCTCACTGTTGTCATAAAGACACTCATTGTCAGTGTAACAAATTTTTATTTCTAAGTTGATTTGTTGTTAAGAAGATGAATCAGGAGAATATTTTAAAAAATTATATATTGTCTCAGTATTCCATGGAGAAATTGGCAGTAATAAAAAAAAAATTAAGTAAAAGTATACTTGAAGCTGACCCTTGGTGGCGAATAATAAATCAAATCGTTAGTATGGAAAGAAGTAATTAAAGTAGTATTTAAAGAAAATCATATTGAAACTTATATCATCTGACGTAGAAAAAAGAAGTAACAGATGAAGAAAGTATAGAAGAAGCCTCAAGTAGTAATGATGAAGATTGTAATGATATTTTATCAAGACACCAGACACCAGATCAACTTTCATCTACTCAATTTTATTTTACACAACCAGATAAATCCTTTAATACAGGCACTCAGCAGGAGCATATATCGAAGCTTGATATCACAGAATGCCTTTTCGAAGAATTAGAATGTCCTAATGGAAAGCTGGATTTGAATCAATTAGAAAATTTAACAGAGACAGAATGTCTAAAAATAGTATGTGATTTAGAAAAAAGATTAAATACTATAGGTACATACAATTTATGTTGTTCTATGAATAATATGACTTTGAACCAAAGAATTAAATATGTACAAATTTTTTATACTCATTTAGTATTACCAAAGGTAAAATTTGATATAAGAATTAGGTTGTATAATATTTTACATACAATTATATATTAATTGAATATTGTTGCAGATTATTGCTTTAGAAGAACCTTCCAGATTACTTTTATCTGCTTTAGTAGAAAGCACTCAAAAATTTCCAAATGATATTCAGCAATTTATTTTTATTCCTCTTTTAAATGTTGATTTAACAGACACAACAATTATTGATGGTATAGTAAATACTTTCGAACCTGAAAGACATATTATTCTTATTGCGTAAGTACTGATTTTATTATTAATCAATCAGATTTTAAAAAGAATATTAACAATTGATAATTTTTATAGAAAATATTTATCATACGTGAAAGAACTTAAATCATGGCATCTATCTTTTCTACACACTTTGATTACTACTACAACAGATATTACACTAAATGACAAACTCGTACAATTATTATCTGAGAAAGCAGTTGATTTTGCCAAGGATAAAAGTTTCGGAAAGCTTGTATTATCATTTATAAAGTCAAATATTAAATTTTCAAATGAACAAAAGGAATTATTGTGGGAAATAGCCAATATTAATCAGACATTGTATAAGAAACCTATGCAAAATATACTAAAATCTATGTAATTTATACAAATGCTACAAAATATAAAAAATTTTATTATGAAAAGTTGTATTTTTTCTACAATTATTCTTATTTTAAAGTAATTAAAAGTAATCAAAATATAAAACGCGTGCGCATAGTACGCTTGAAACTTGTATATGAATAATACTATCATGACAGAAGAACTTTCCGGTGTAACTATAGTGATTTTCATCGCTGTTGGAGTCTTAACGATATTATTGTTGTTTATATTCGGAAAACGACAAATTATGAGATTTGCATTACGATCACGTCGCGGTCCTCATATCCCTATCGGACACGATGCACGAAAGGTATAAAATTGAGGTTAAGTTACTTGTGTATATGTACATGCATATTCAAGTATATGTATTATCCATATACAAAATATAATATTTATTTTAAGATAAAAACTATTTTAAAAATTACACTATCTAATTATTCAATATTTTCAATACATTTATATGCACACACACATACACATATATATATGAGTCAAAACATACTTTCAATTGTTTAGTCACTGAAGAAGGAGATTGAAAGACGAATAGAAGTAATACCAAGAATTCAGTATGAACCACAGCTTATTAGTGATCCAAGGCTTATTTTAACTTCACGGGGACAGGTTCCACCACATTATTATAGATTAAAAGCTGTAGATGATGTTAAGACCTTAGGTAATTGTTTGTTATGACAAACAAAATCTTTATGTTTAAACTGATTTTTGATCATCTTTTATAGAAGCTGAAATTACTAAATATGATAATTGCTTAAAAAGACATCCATCTGAAAATTTACGAGCATATTTACTTGCCGTATTGGCAACACCATTGAATGGAAGTGGCCAAAGATTAATTCACCAATTCTGCGATTTATATGAACATGCGCGACACGATCCTACTGAGTTTGGAGATGAGGAATATCAAGTATATACTCGTTTATTTCTTAAATTAATGGATGCGTGAGTATAATTCATTTTAACTATGAAGTGAAAGTTTGAAAATCATAACATGTCTTACCATAGTATGATAAATGAAATGTTCTCAAATATTTTTATAGAGCTCGTTTATTGAAATCATATCCTAGCAGTAGAAAATCTAGTCCAAGTCGTACGCCTATAAAGAAAAACATTGAGACGAAACGGAACATATTGGAACCCAAAATGAAACTGCTCGATGATCAAACATTGACTGGATCACGTCCGAATACATTAACAGTGATGATGCTGGATAATAGTGAAACATCTGTTTAGCATTATGAAAATCGTCACATACAGCATATGTGACGAAATATTTATTCGTAATTGTTGATTTTCACATTATATGGAATTGCAAGTAAGTGAAATACATCATTAACTTTTGTTTCAATGGTATTCCATAAATGTGCTTTTCTCTTTAATTTCGTATCTTAAATTTGCAGTAACAAACACATTTTGCGATAGAAATTATTTCTATCCAATATACATATACAACTTGCGATTAAATACCGATGTCAGTTTTAATCGATAAATATTTAGTCCATACATTTTTATAATATGGATTATGTCTTAAGCAAATCAATGCTCGATGAAACGTGTATTTATATGTATTAGAAATATTACTTGTTCTCATATAATTTAACCATTCCATTACCTAAAAGATACATAATATTTTTAATAGACTGTTAATTCTGGAGTAACTGTATAACTTTCATTGGAAATATGTTAATTTGTTAAATTATTACTCACACTAAGTTAGATTATTTTGTAAAGAAATAAAAATAATCGTGAATACCTGTGGAATTGCATGTTTCCAATCCTCTCTATTGGAAAGAACCATTAGAGCTTGAGGAAATAATTTTGTTCTGACATTTTGTGATTTAATTATTACATCTTGTTTCATTAACATGGAATCTATGCCAGATAAACTAACAATAGAGATAAATAAAATATTACAATAGAATTGTATTTTATCATTGTAATTTTGCGATGATTCCATTAAAAATCCTTGAACCTGCGTCATAAGATCTAGAATCCAATTTGAATTTGATCTTTCGAAATGCATATTCGTTTGTACTTTTTGTATAATTTCGAGAAAATATGTTTGTACACTTTAACGAAAAATATTAAGATACATATTTACTTGTGCGTTCAGTATAGGTATAAAATTACAATAACGATCAAGAATTTTACCTGGATGTAGAAGTAACAGTTTCATCGATGATTTCATTCAACCATGTTAAGGGAGCTTCGGTATTAGATTTCCTTAAAGTCAATTCGGCTCTGATCGCGATTGCATTCTTTAATTTACTGGACATTGTTTCCCACCATACTTTAGGAGACGTCATTCTTTCCAATTGCTTCATTGGTAATTCCAAAACTGCTGTGAAGTAAGAACTAAACCGATCGCATGTTAAATCTATTTTGTTCAGAAGTTCTTCCAATATAATAGAAAGCAGTGTAGAATTAGCATGGCATACTTCTGAATTTCTTAATGTCTGAGCATATGAAGTCATGATGCAATGAAACAACTCTGTCGAATTTTCATCATTAACGTTCATTTTTTCAATTACATGTCCTAACGTAGTTTCTAAGAATGGTTTAATAATATTTGGTTGTACAGCTTGACACAAATCTTCAAGATTTAAATATAATATAGAATGCTCATTGTCCTCCCAAGCGAAATCTTCTGCATTGTTTATAGATTTGTACGTTGATAAATAATTTTCTACAAAAGATTTTGAAGATAAAGATATCGTCGCATGATGACACGCGATAGAAAGAGTATATTTTTTTGCTTCAGCCGACAGGTCAAAAGTATTCTTTAGAAAACTCCAATTCATATTGGGTAATGGTTTTGGATATTTATGAGCAAATATTCGCAAACATTCCGTAATTATACGATGATTGTTCGAATCGGATTTATCAGATTTCCTCAAATATTCACCGACCGCTCTGATTACGCTTTTTTCTGGTAGATACTTAAAGTTCTGCGGTTCTCCTTGAGGCCACATATAAATGCCGGATCGGAAGTTGCTTACCTCTTCTGTTATGAAGGAAATTAAAAGATTACCAGCTGCTGGTAAAGCCATTTTATTTATATTTTGAAGCATTTGAATCCAACAAATACTAGGTATGTACGGAAGCACATCTTCTGGCTTTTTCATCTCTTCGGTCGCTGTTTTCGCATACGTTGCTGGTAATGCGAGATTACATCTAAATTCTGCAGGTAGTGTTTTCAAGGATAATTGTTCCAGATGATATGAAGCTAGAGCTTCAAGCGCAGAGTTGACTATTTTTACATCATTCCAAATTGCGTAATTCCATAATCTCGATACAATATCATCGATGATTTGATGGTGTTTTTCAAGGCATTCAGAAGGTGTGTAGAATGCCACATCACCGAGTAGTTTGCACAAACTTCTCAAAACAACAGACCGCTTCTCTTTTTCCATTTTCGGTGCTAGAACTTTCCACGTTGTGCAAATGTCTATTACGGATGCTTTACAAAGAGCAGAAATACATTCAAGCGCGAGCGCGCTTGCGGTTCCACCGTTCATACTCGTCGAACGATTCAATATCTGCAATATGAAAGGTATCAATTTTTCCCCATGTTCAGGATAATTTTCACAAATATATTTCGTGGCTCTTGCACAAGTCGCATCCGAATACCAGGAGAAATCGCTTTCCATCAATTTGATTATCGCAGTATAAAGAAATCTGTAACATCTTGGTTCTCTTTTCAATGCTTCCAGATATAGTTCTATCATAAAATATTTAAGTTGCTTGTCACCGTTTAATAATCCGTTCAAGGTATGATTAACAATCGGTACATTCTCTTTTACAATCATAAGCTCCGGTATAACTAGTAACAAACATTTGGATTTTGTACTGCTTTTACATTTAGTTAATTTGTGCAATATCAATGAAAGTACATGTGATCCGAAATTTTTCATTTCTTTGCTAACATTAACGAGAATGTTACAACACAGTTGAACTATCAATGGATCGTTTGACTGCAAAAGGAGACCGGATATCAATAGTTTACATTTGTCTTTTAAGTAAATCGATGCGCGTGACATATTATTCAACCATGATAATATATCATTCTGATTCCAGATATTCAAGCAATACACTAACTCCGTATAAAATTGAATGTATGGATCGGAATGGATGAAAACTGTAAAAAGTTTATTTGAGAATATCATCTCGTTATCGCACGTTAATCTTGTTTCTGTAAACATCTGGTTAGCTAAATCTCTCGCCGTGTCTAGTGCCGTAGAACATAATACAGACGGATATGCAATCCATTTTATAATAGTCGCTATCAAAGTGTTGAAGAATATATTGTTGTAAGACATTTTCTTTATTATTCTCACACCTGTAATATAATAAATTTATTACAACATGCATATTTAGAAAAATCGGTAAAAATCAAATTGGAAAACACTTACATATTTGCAAAGCACTATGCAAATAAATAGCTGGGCATAAAGTAATTACTTCTGCCATTAATGTTAACATGAGATTCCCTATATAGTTATCACAGTGGTCTATGATGAGAAATATAACATGAAAATTTGGTTCTGGATCAGAACCTTGTTTCAGTAATTGTATAGTCAAAGACACAATTATCGGTAATAAAGCTGTACAATATTCCCTATTTTTTTCTGAAAAAGCTTTTTCTGCAAGCTCTAAGATTCTATAGTTTGTATTTATGCAAGAATGATTTTCCGCTGTACACAGCCAAAATAAAATTTCCGTCTGCACATGTGAATTATATTTCGATTTAATTAACAGTTGCCAAACTTGTTGCATACAGCAATCCAACGAATTTGATGAAGGATTGCATAAAATATACAAAAATACTGGTCGTAACATTTTTATGCCATTGTTTTTAATCCTAAAATATAAAGAAATTATATACAACTATATATATACAACTATAAATACATGCACATGTCCAAGTATATATGTATAATATTTGTATACAAGTATATTTCTACATATAGATACATACCGGGTATCTTGATGATTGAGAATAAATGTCATTTGACTTAATATAGTCTGCCAACTATCTTTGTTTTGACTTAAAATCATAATAAAAGGGTGTTGTGGTGTATATAATGTAAACGGATATATAGTTTCATTTTTTGTACAGCGTTTTAAATCTAATATTAACAAATGACTTATGGTTGTTGTAGCAACCATATAATTTCTAAAATATGTGTCATGTTATAAAACAATATTAAAAAAGAAATGTTTCTCATAGAATAAATGAATTTCTATACTTTATAGAAGAGATACTCGAAATGAATGTAGATAATGCCTCATTAATGTCCCATAATCCATTTTCAACCAAAGCAATTAAAGCTTGACAGGCGGATATACTAAGCGTGACATTCGTACTATCCTTCTTTGTTAGTAATAACTTAAACTCGGGTATCTGTTTAAATCGAAAAATGAACAGAATTAGTAAATCAGAAAATTAAAAGTGAAGTATGATCATCGAACGTGCTTTACCTTTGAAATATGATCCGCTTGTTGCTCGCACTTTTTTTTCTTAATGGATTCGAAGAGTTTAGACGTTGCCTGCGTAGAAAGATACATTGGAATTAAATATAACATAAACACTTGCAAAAAAAA